TGTGTGTGTGTGTGTGTGTGTGTGTGTGTGTGTGTGTGTGTGTGTGTGTGTGTGTGTGTGTGTGTGGGAGAGAGAGAGAAAGAGGAGGGGCTGAGCAAACAATTTTTCATGCACAGAAAACCAAATTTCCGGCCGAACCGATGTCAAAAAAATTCAAACTAAAACTAATTGCGTACTAAATACAATCCTTGAAAAATATTTCGAGAAAAGTCGATGGTGAGCACTGAGCACTGAGGGGAGAGGTGTATACGTACTGCAGTACACGTTGTTATTTTATAACATTAATTTAGACATTCCGTTTTTCAGGATCCGGATGCACCACTTCCGGCCCTCTATGAAAATTTGGGTATGCCGACGATAAAAATTATAGTCTCCGGTGGTGCGATATTCGCATTGTGCACAAGGTACGTCCACCTCCACGACGACGTATCACAGCGTTGTCGATGTACCAGCTAATATTTTATTTTTTATTTATTTATATGCCTTTACGTTATAATTATACAGTCTTTTGGGTGCAATATTTCCACTACCTCGTATCTTGTACTCGATGGCTAGCGACGGTCTGCTTTTCAAGTTCTTGTCGAACATCAACTCCACGACGAAGACCCCTCTGATATCCACGATCATTTGCGGAGTTTTTGCCGGTAATATACACGAGATGCAAACACTCGTCGTTGGGTTCACCTGCCAGTAATCGTATATTTTTATAGCCTATAAATACCTATTTTCCATGTTATCAGGTACTTTGGCCGCAGTATTCAATCTCGAGCAGCTCATCGATATGGCGTCCATCGGCACACTCCAGGCCTACACGATCGTTTGCATTTGCGTGTTGATATTGAGGTTAGTCCGAGGCGTTGTCTGTAGGAGCTGCTTGTGCTATTTAAGGGCGAAACGAAAATAATGTATTATTGCATTATTGTTTAACAGGTACACAGACAACAGTCCGTCCATCCAAGACAACATGACGAAGTCGAAAGGTATCACGGTTTTCACATGGTTGAACTTATCGAACGCAAAAGTGCCGAACTCAGATACCCAATACGTTTCGAGGGCTTTGATATTCATATTTAGTATGTATCATATATTATTGTAATATTATTATTTAATCTTATCAAAACAAGGGTCCTTTCTCATACCTATCTACAAACTTGCGTGTGTGTATGATCATTGATTGTATTGCATGCTGCTATAATAGATTGATCACTATATTATAATTCATAGACAATAAATAATGGATAAGACATCATCAGATCTAATTAGCATAGTACGTGCAGTGGTTCAGACATAATAGTTACATTTTTTCTCATGTGGCCTATCCATTAAACTATTGTATTTATTATTTTACTATCTATCAGTGGCATATTCAGGGCCGGGGACTGAGGAGATCCCACCTTGGCATTTTTTTTTTGTGTGAATACATTTTTGATTTCAAAAAAAATATAATATGTTCATTAATAAAAAAGCTGGTAAGTATATGTCGCTCTGCTGTATAACAGTAGATTACAAGTGGGTTACTACGTAATGGATGTTGCTAAATTTGAATTCGATGATATAAAATCATTGTATACGAAAAAAACGATCCTGAGCGAAGACAGTCAGTCAGCCCATAAATAATAAATAATTAACCTAAATAGTTTAGCATATTTGATGATGTTCTTGTGATTAAAGTAATTTATTTACTATTAAGCATTAGTATTAAAGTAGGTAAAATTCATTTTTGCCAAAAAGTGTGGGTAAAACATAATAATATACTCAAAAATGTTCAAGTAGGTATCCACGAATAACATTCTTAGAATACAACAAATAACTTAAAACATTATTTTTGGTTATTCAACTTGATTTTTACAAATGTTGTCAGAATTCTAAATTCAAAGGCTCATAAAAAATTACTGTGGATTTAAGCTGAAATTTTTTTAATTTCTACTAACAACAACTTAGAGAAATCTTGTATTACATTTTCAAGTTTTTTAACCAATCGAACATTTTTTTATCGATATTAGTGTAAAAAAACTAATAATTATCGAACATTTCATATGCCTGTAAATAGTTCAACACGAGTCAAAATATTTTCAAAATTTGACGGTGTATAGAAAATATGGATATAAATATTCAGTGAACATTTGATGTGTGTACTATATTTTTTTAGGGTTACATTAAATGCCGTAAATAAATAGATGAATACTTAAGATAAATAAAAGCCAATAAAACAGTGTTACCCAATCATCGTTTAACATAATTAATTCTATTTTTTTTGTGGATTATAATTATTGTTTGTAGTATAATATAGTATTATAATCGTGTAACAAATACTGAGTCAAACTGCGTGTATTAAATGTATTATAATTTAATTTTATTCGAATTCCATTAATTAATAGTTTGTCTATAACCAATACTTTTTTGAAAATTCTGATCCGAGAAAGTTGGTCCTAAATTAAGTGAGTTTTATTATTATGATTTTTACTGGGTTCTTCTTTAGAGTCAGTAAAAACTTTTAATGCATGTGAACTCCAACTATATGGGTCGTTTATGGTAGCATATTAGGTCTAGTACTGGAAAAAACGACAATTTTATTAACAGTGTATAGCAACACTCTTTTCTTAACTCTCTATACCTTTGGGAAAGTGCTTAAAATATTAAACTATATTTTTTCAACATTATAATTATTTGAGCTGCATGATAATATGACCACCGTACTGTTAATATTAATGTATTATATCAACAACTATCAAATATTTTATCAAAAGGAAAATATAAGATAAAATAAAACTTCAAGCATTTAGGTAAATCATCGACAACAAAACAGTGAAACACACTTTAATGCTAATTATTAGCTACAATAAAGAACAAGATATCTGTTGAATAATCAACCGAAATGGTCAAAAATAGTCCCTACCGATTTCGTGCAGGTATCGTTAAGTACAGTATAATACACTGTAAATGCACAGATACATAATTATGGGCAGTTGAAACTCCATGCAGTTGAATATGCACTGTATGCACTTTACAGGCCATAGCCTGGGGCATACCCCTAAGTACACTGCTTGTCTGACGATACCGACCGTTACAATTGCATCATATCATGTATAAACGTATCGACCGACCGAAGGGGGGTGATGCAATTTTTGCCGCTGATGACGGTAGCGGCAGAGCGAACAATTTTGCTTCCGACCAAATGCTTTTTATTTCGAGTTGTACGTTTATATTGTTTTATTTTTTGACGAGCAGTGCAAGCGAAATCATTCATTCCCCGTACTAGTTGTTCCCAGTTCAGTTCCAGCAATGTAAACTACAATGGTTTTCTGCTTTACTACTTTATTATTTATTTATAATACCTACTTAGATTCAGGCAAATATGTACAATTAACAATTCTCTTTAAAACATTTTTTTTTTTTGAATATTGCTCTTCTGTTTAAATTTAATTAAATCACTGTTGCACGCAAATGTCACATAGTACTATAACAATTAACAACTCGCATATGCTACGAAAGAATGTGCGATTGAAATAATTTAATTGTACAATATATCTTAAATTACAAATATAATAGTTACAATATCTCAAAAGTTAAAACAATTTATCGATCATTAAATGTACGATTACTAAAATTATTTTGATAAGCCGTTAACCTATATAGGTACTTACGTCAAATTAATTTTGTGGATGAAAATATAGTCTTGACACGGTGATAATAAAGAGTTTATTATCATGAGTACCTTGATATATTGCAAATAAAACCAGAAAAAGTTATTGATATTACATTTTTCATAGTTTCATACTACCTATGAAATACTATCGTTTAGTATGTCTAATTATAAATAAGCTTAAGTCAATAAGTAATAAATTGACAGAAAATATTGCACCTACCACTTTAAAGTAGTTTATTCTTACAGAAATACGGTACCCGCTCTATAACTGTAATCGTACGTTTTGAAGCAGAATTGTCCAAGATTTTATTAATTAATTTACACAATTAAAGCATTGACCACAATCAGTATTCAATTATCAATTATAAATTATAATAATTATATTTCAAGCGCACATATATATTTTTTTATACATATAAAAATCTGTACTAAAATGATATTTAAATATTAGTATTATTTAAAAGTATCATACAAAAATAAAATGAATCTGCATATTACAGTAATTAAGCGGTAATAACGCCCTATAATTGCATAAATAAGGTATCGGTAATTCTTAGTTATTTAAAAAAAATTACACTCCTTTTTTGAACACATTTAAATTATGGGAATACTAAATTAATAATTCAAAACTATGTTTTAACATAGGTGCCTGTACGTTTGTGTTTGCAATAAGCTTGGCAAACATGGAATCACATCATGGCAACACGAGGAACGTACTCATGATAATAAACGTAATAGCACTTTTGGTGTTGTTGGTTACGTTGTTCATGTTGGGCAGACTTCCGACAGCCGTGGAAGATCTATCGTTCAAGGTATGAGTTTGATAAAAGAAATACAAACGATTTTAAGAACTGGGTTTTCAAATTTAGTTTTAAGAATATTGTTTGATGGCAGTGATTTTTCTTGTAGAAAACAGTGCTCTTAACACACATATGAATTGTAATAGATTCAAAGTTTTCTGGTTGAGAAAATACTAACATAATTTTAGAAAATTAGATTTATTTTCATATTTTTTAGGTGCCCCTGGTTCCCATCATTCCATGTTTGAGCATTGTACTAAACGTTTACCTGATGATGGAACTCGAGTACAAGACTTGGATAAGGTTCATAGTGTGGCTCATATGTGGTAAGTTCGTCTACTTACACTTAGCAAAATTTGTTGTAAAAACTTAACGAAACTAAACTAGTCATACTATAATTTACTAAACGTGATATGATTTCCTAAATATTTAGGAGCCTTTGTGCTTTTTATAAGTATTTAAAATATTTAACTTTTTACTGTTTTTTTTTTTTTTATTTACATATGATACAATTTCGGTTTTTGGATAAAAAAAATTGACAATATAATATCCAAAATATTCTTCATAAAGATTTGAAACTCTTATGCTTATTTTATATTTTTATAATTGTAATACACAATGCAGTTTTTCAATATATTAAGATTAATTTTAAATTATCACCTATTTATACCACAAACATGTTCATACCGCTCTGCGGCAGGTCAGTACTGATTCAAAAGTTAATAACAATAAACTTAATAATAATACTATTACTATATGATATGAATGCAATGTTTTAGTTAAAAACTAATTGTACCAACCGTATATTTATAAAAGTAAATTTAATAACTATAATATAACAAGGTTAAGTGTACCTAAATATATTATAAAGAAACATAGTACATACTGTGATACAGACGGACCATCTCCGATTAGAATCGTTTTTTTTTCGAATTTATCATTGAAAATATTCAAATACAACAAATCCTTTTCAGTGACCTGATAATTTTTAAATATTCAGTTTAAATCTTATACATGATTATTGATTATCACACCTATAGAGTTGTTATTTTTAAAAATTAACGCCAAAACATTAATTATTGCGACTGATTTACGTTACTACAACATTAAATTGATCAGTACACATGTTTATGGCATGTGAACACTTTATCGGTGCGCATGTCACACATTAAATCTGAAGTAGAAAATCATAAAAACATATGACTGAAACTCGTTATATATTGGAAATAAGCAATAACTGCATTTATTACAGTAAATTATATAATTATCATAATAATGATAATTATAAATTATATAATTGGCAAAAACGGATAACCTTAGTTATGATAAGTATTTCGTGGTTTTAGATATTTTAATCGATATAATGATTAAAATAAATTGATATATGATTTATCAAAAACTAATTATCATATTTCTTTTTATTCTAAATGTTTACTTATAATTTATGCCTTGATATTTACAGGATTATTGATATATTTGTTCTACGGTATCGGTCACAGTTTGGAAGGCAATAAGCAAAAAATTCAACTTAACACAATTCAAATCAAACCGAAGCTATAATCGGTTAGTTTTTTGGATGTTTGTAAAATTACACATAGATTGAAATCAATTCCATTGGATTCCTCATCTATTTTGAAAAATATGTATACTTATATTATATTAGTGATCTATATTGTATAGGTACTTTATTCAGTCTTAGGGCTTTTAGTGCTTTATTGTTTTATTTTAAGTGATTTTTCAATGTTATGAAAAACCAAAAAACTCTTCCCGATGTTTTACCTAAAATGTTTATTTATACAATTAATATTTATTACATATTCATAACTCTCATTTTTTTTTTTTTTTTTTGGTTGCCATAGCAATTTATTAAAAAAACATTGAATATAATTTTTAAGTTTGTTGATGTATATTATATAAATATATAATAATAAACTATATTATAGTTTATGTGACCGTTCTAAAACTACTAGTATTTTGTTTGGTGTGTTAATTTTCGGCTTTGATTTGAATTTAAATTAATATATTATCTTAGAATTTAGATATACTAATATAATATTGAAATAATTATTTTTATGTTTAAAATTCTTAATCTTGGCAAACTGCATTTGTAGTTTCAAAAATTTAAACGGGAGCACTTCATATTTTTCGACAATACTTCAGAAATATATTGTATTAAATCTATTTTACTCGCACTACAATAATTTATAACATATTATTATGAATGTGATTTTTCAACTGTGATAGTCTTTATTGTGTTAAAAGTTAATATTATTTATCTTTAACATAAATTTAAATTTAAATTTTTTATAGTTATATATAAAAAATTCGAATTTTTGTAAAACTTTTTGGGGGTGTCATGATAGATAATTGATAATTTTACTGAGTTTATGAAGATCGATTTTATCATATAATTATATTATAACGAAAACCTAATGTAATATTATCATAATAAGATAAAATAATAATTATGTCGACTTATGAATTACTTTTTGTATACTTTATAATTATAATACCTATTAAAAATATATTATGATACACACATTCTGCGTCTTGTCTGTGATTTTATCAAATGTTTTGTTTAAGAGCAGAGAGATAACTATTGGTTTTACTTTTTACTATGATAAAGTGTGCTTTGTTCACGGAAGTTTTTGCTAAACTCTTCATTGGACAGTAAAAACTCACAAAAAGTGATGTGTCTGTTCATATTGGTAATGAGCTTAATGCTTAAAAACATATGAAATCAATATATTACAAGGACATTTTTTTCAAATAAATTTGTTATACATTTGTCGATTTCATAAATGTGCCAGGCATTTATTTAATTAGTTATTTTTTTACTTGACCACGCACAATTGTTGAATCATCTAGTATAGAAAATTTGGTTAACAACTCATTAAGTTTTGTTCAAACCTGTCAGATTGCAGTTGATAAATTGCAACAAAAATGTTATGAAGTTGACGTGTTGTTGTTGTTGTTGGTGATTAAAATGTCAATGAGGTACCTATAATGAATAGAATATTTTGATCACAGTAAAAGTGATATCGACGCCACAGCAATGTTTATTTTACAGAGTGACTCGATGGCCTAATTTTCAAGATATAACATGAGATTGTTTGGAATAAAAAAAAATCAAATTAAAAAACATAATGACTAAAAATACCCACGAAAGTTGGATACCTTTAAGATGGTCGGTTTTTTTGTATTTAATTGTTTTTTAAACGCCACCTAAAACAATATCGGCATGAACGGGCATGCGATCCGGAGGCAAAAATCTCGGCTAATAATCCCTCCCCCACCCCCTCGGTCACCAGGAGCGCTAGATCGAGCACCGGGAAGGGATAATAAAACGACGAGCGCCGCATGGACGGAGCTCAATATTAATCGAGCCCGGACGCACGCGCGGTCCATCGTGAAATTCGACGACGACGACGACGACGACGATAACAGACGTTATCATCAGAAGACATAAAACCCCGTAAACGAACGGTCGTGTACTGAAACGATAGTAAATAATAATATTTTGTACCACGTGGTGTCCACGTCCAGTGAATCGGGATAGCTGCAAGACCCGGCGACTACCACACCCTCTGCAAGACCTCGGCGTCTCGGCCGGCCCAAGACAATATCGTCTCCCCATAGATCGTGATCTATATGCGCCGGATCGACGGACGACGACGTAATGATGAAGTTGGTACGTATATTGTGATTATTGCATCGATTAGGCCACTCGCAGTAGGGTTAGGACCCGACCGTTTAGGATTTATATGCCCTCAAAAATATATTGTGTGTGCATTTGTTGTACAAAAAAAAAAAACGCAGATCATAAAATACAAAAACTAAACCCAACATTTTCGTTGGCGAAAAGTCAAACTTAGGATGAATAATAAACTAAAAAAAAAAAAAAACATTAACAGACTGTAAAGAAATTTTACAAAAAAATTAATTCAAATTTGAACTAAAAAAATTCAAATTATTAAAACATGCAGTCATCTTAAAAATCTGAGAAATATGCAAAATGAAAATATAAAATGTTTCATTTCCAGTATGTGATACTTTTTTGTTTTAAGGGCATATTTCTTTTATTTTATACTTTTTGAGACATCTGCTAATGCAATTAATAATTGTATCAGTTTATTCCCCACTAACATTTTTATCTTTAATAATACAACCAAAACCCAAATTCATTTTTGATTTTTTTGATTTTTGTCGTATAATATGGTTTTTGACTGGCTCCATCTTACGTTTTTCCTAGAAGCCCGATAATTTTATAAATTATCATAAAATTTAATACTTAAAGTTGAAACATTTGGAACAAAATAAAACATATTCAAAATAATAAATTCAGTTGAATAAAATAAATAAAAATATTCATGATTTTATTTTAAAAAAGCATATGCGACGCATATTTTTTATTTTGCATATAAATGCATGTTTTTGGTATTCAAATGCATATTTGCAAAAGTCCGCTGTCCTAATCATAACAAACAATAATGTAATACATAGTATTACAGGTATAAGTACTAACGTTCTTTCGGTTTATACTACCAGTCACCGCAGAGACCACTTTAATAGAAATTTAAAAAAAAAACCCCGATAAAGTCACTCTCTTGTGTGTAATAGGTATACGTTTCGAGTATTTACCTCGTCAATGAGTTGGTTAATGAATATTATGTTATGAACCATAAAACCATTTGAATTCAGTGATAAATTATCAAACGGTTATGTGCGGAGACTGCGCGTATTTATAAGAATATTATATAATTGTATCGTTGCTTTTTTTAAATACTTGTTTAACACTTGCTATTAACTTATCCACTGTACTGAAATGAGATCAAACCTGCGCTGCTGCTCTGTGCAAACCATGGGCTGCACAGTGCACACGTCACGTGTAGCATTTTGGAATAGAAAACTTGGACAGCCGTCCCTGCCTTTATCATACACGGTGCGGCTTCTGATACAAATAAAAGAACATGTTCATGTTGTACTCCGTTCATCCACAATATACCCATTGACTTGTTGAATAGCTGACTGATAATAGACAATTTTGTTTTTCCTAGTTCTTCAGTATGAAGTAAAAATACAACACCTTGACGATCGGCTTCGAGATTGCCGACAATCGCATTTTCTATATTATACCGTTCTTCGACATCGGTTGTTTTATCGATGCTGACCCATATTCGCTTAGAAGATAATTTAGACCGAACGTTTTCCATAGTTTCGTTATTTGTATGATCCACATATAATTTTCTTAACGTGGTTTGATCTGGAATCGGATTTTTCATGTACGTTTCGAGAAATTGTCGAAATATTGGATTAGATAATTAATTTAAAGGAATGTTTGCCGCTATAAATGCTTTACATAAATCAACTTTAAAGATTTTTTTTTTTTGGTAGCTGGTATGAAACTTTTGTTTTTTTTTTCAATTTTATTTTGATGGCGCTTCGTTGCTTTGATATGTTTATCTGTTTTTAAGTGTTGAGTTATGTTAAATTTTTTTTCACTGTTCACTTTACACTCACATAATTGACAAAATAATACATTGTAGTCAACCTTAAACACTTCTTCGCCAAACTCGGATACAACATTATTGAGTTTACACAAAAGAGATGATTTAACTTTTGGCATTTTAAAACAAGGTTACTACCTACAAGTTAAACCGAAAGGCGAAAATACAACGTAACACAAGAGTACGAGCACACGAGATGACTGTATAAAATGAATTGACTACACAATGTTGATAATCGACGATTAATAATCGCAGTAGAAATCGATAAAAAAAAACACATCAAAATCAGCAAATAACAAAACTTAGAACCAAATACCTTATGCAAAATTATCTTAGTATTATATTATACCTGTATATAATCTCTGTACCGCGTTGCATCATCCTAATCGGTCTATTTACTTAATCTATAGGTATTAGGTACATTTACAATTTGCTTGATGATTCGATTGACAAAAATATAAAAACACGTTTACTAAATTATAATTTCATAAAATATGACAGGTTTTAATTCAAAAACAGGTAAAAATGCAAAAAACAAAAAAAAAACAGTAAAAACTAAAAAAGCAACATTTTTAACTTGAGTTCTCTGTATTATGAAACACATTTTTAGCGTACTCTATTTTTAAAGCAACTCATAAGATATATGCAATTAATGCTATAAAATCCCAACCCTGCTTATGACTTTATTTTGTTGGTCCATGTTGATTTAAATGTTTTCTGATTTTTAATCGTATATAAAATATAGTGTTCCCCTATTTTTCAATTTAAAACATCGTTTTTACTTTTTTTTTGAGATTTAAATTTCGATATCTATTTTCTAAATATGAGCTAATATGTACGATTATGAACCGGGCCTAAGAAAACAAAACATTATTTTTTATTGTTTACCGATGAATAAAATTATAGACTAGATCTGTTGGCTATTGTTGAATTTTATATTTAAATTATTATTTTTTTTTAACTTTAAATCGATTCTTACCAATATTAAAATTTATTAAAAAACGGCTTTTATTTTGATAAGAATTATAGATTTATTAATTTTTTCGATTTCAACATACTTTTGAATCTTATTATTTAAATTGCTTTTAAAACGAACTTCGTCAAAATTTGAACTTTAAATGCTAAAAAAAATGAATGTAATCTAAAAGAAGTAAAACATTTCAAATTTCTATAAATAGCTAAACAATATTTTTAAAATTAGGTATATCATGTATCGAAAATACTGATATAAATAATGTATAAAATATATTTATTATTTATTTATTAAGTGAAAATGTCAAGTATCAATGGTTATTATTAGAATTATATAATACAATCGATTATGTCTACTGGTATTGTGTAAATATTACCATTTGTTGTGTGTATTAGATTCAGGCCGGTGAAATTAATGTATTTGCCAAAGAATAATGGTTTTTTTTTTTGTGTTTGGACTTTGGAGACACTATAATTTTTATTCCCGAACAAATACTTCAATGTTCATATCGAAGGTTGTTACTGATAGTGAATTAGACTTAGTTTGTGTTTTATGTGATAGCAAATGAAAACAAAATCCAAAAATAATTTTTACTCGTGCATAATAACAGTTTATAAGACAACACATCTGAGAAACTATATGACTTTTTGAGTTTTGAGATTTTTGTGATACGCGTTAATGTCTAAAATTATAATAATAATATGTTGAATGCCGATTAGCTACGATCAACTTATATTCAACAGTTTTAATTAATATATTTGTTTTAGGTGTGGGAAGGGATAAAAATTACTGTTTAACGTTGGAGGAAATAAAATTATTTAAGTTTTTAATTGCATTAATTCTGCGAGCACGCCGAATGTACAATTTCTCAATGAACTGTGTATTAAGAAAAAAAATTGTATTGCATATATTCAGTTCTCATTAATTTAACATTATTTAAAAGTTAATTTATTTGAAACAGTTTCAGTATTTTCTGTAAACTGTAGTGAATTTTCTTAAAAATTTTGAACGGTTTGGTTCATCCAAGGTTGGTTTATGGACATATTGTAACAGATGATGTCGGACAAAGAGAAGTTTGTAACATAACTATATGAACTGAAAGGAGCGTAATACTTTCTCATGAATAATAATTTTTTAATTAAATTAAACTTATAATGATAAGTTGAAATTATTATTAATTACTTTTTTTAAATGATTTATACGCACTTATCTAATTATAGTTATCACTATTGACTTACAACAAGACGGTTTAAAAGCAACTCCGATGCTTAAAATGTTGACTTCTAATATATTGAAACAATTACAGTATTATTATACAGTATCCTCGTGTTGTGTGATAGTTTGTTTTTTCAAGCAGTAGTGAACTTATCGAATTTCAAATAATATTTTTAAAAAAATTACTCTTCAAATGTCGATTTCGGCAACTCGACTATGGAACGATAATATATAACGGATAATTCTTTTTTCCAGCGAGAAACCCTGTACCGAGTGATGTTCAGGCGGAAAAACGAAGATGACATAGAAGACGATCAACAGAAAAAATTGGCCAGGGTCCTCAATCTGGTGGACCTGACGGCACTTGGAGTTGGATCAACGTTGGGGGTGGGCGTCTACGTGCTTGCCGGAAACGTTGCCAGAATAGAAGCAGGGCCGGCCGTCGTTCTGTCATTCATTTTGGCTGCCTTTGCGTCTGCTCTCGCAGGTGAGACAAGATAAAAAGAAATGTTAAACAAAAATCGAATTAAACCATAGGACATCTGTTTCTGATTCGGACCAAAATAATATCGCCATCGGGTATCCATCGTTTTACAGTAAATGCTCAAATGCACGGTGTACGGTGTAGTATTTTAATATACCTGTAATAACTTAATGATAGAAATGGTGAAGGCATACAAACGAATTACAAAATATATAAGCTACTCAAATTATGAAGTGTAATACGGTAGAAACAAAATATAATTCCATTGAGGCATCACTATATTCCGTTTACGTCTAATTTTTTAGATAGAAATCGGATCTAAGACACTATTCTTAATAGAATTCTTTCCACAGAACCAATAGTTATCCAACAGCGAAAATCCAATCTGTAGTGGTTTTAAAGGATAAGGATAAACCACTTGAAAATCAACTCTGATTATGAACTAAACACTCCCGAGATTTGAGTTGGATTATTATTTTTAAATAATATTTAATTTTTTACACATCAAATAATTTATTCATAATTTTTAATATAATTTACACGTTTTTTTTTTATTGATTTTGCATCGTAAAATATATCGTGATTTTGAACAATAAATGGGAATAATTTTCAGTGTAATCAACAGCCACCAGAAAATTAAAATAAAACGAATTCAACTCTCGTACTTTAAGGGCATAATTAATTTTTCAGAAACCTTGTAGGTGTAGAACTCCGGAATAACAATAGTAGACTATTCATCTAGATTTACTTTAAACCATGTGCAGTTTAAATTGCATAACTTCTGGACTTACAGTTCAAAAGTTAGTGGCTGTTTCTTCGCGAAGAACTATAAACCTACTATACGAGACGACCGAGTGCCCTGCTGGTCCGGACCGGAAATAAAATACCAATATTATATTTATTAGCGGCTCAATAGATTACAGTTATATATTATATTATATTATATCCACAGGCCTGTGTTACGCAGAATTCGCAGCGAGAGTGCCAAGAGCCGGGTCGGCCTACGTTTACAGTTACGTCGGCGTGGGCGAATTCGTCGCGTTTGTAATCGGATGGAATCTGATACTCGAATACGTCATAGGTGAGTGATGTTAAGTCTTGAGGCCTGTCAAGCTCATACGGGGTGGGAAATTTGTCGTTAACCTAAGTTGTGTTTTGACGTGAGGGAGAATACATACTTTCGGTCTTATTACCGAAGTCCGGAGTGCTTTGATAATGCACAAAATATAACATAACAAATTCATGCAGTAGAGAAGACGGCATCCTTATTGGTCTTGAAACCCATTTTCGTTATTATTAATTTTTTATGTTCCATAGAATTTTTTTTTTCTAATAATACTCGAATGTCTAAAATGGACCAATTTTGAATATAATGAGGCACAATAATTAATATATTTATTTTATTTTCTGTTTATCTTCATTCCTGAATGGAATATATATTTACAACATATCATTTTTTTAATAACGTAAAGTATACCATGACCAATTTCTGAACCTCTTTTGACCCAAAATTGATTCATGACTCACAGTTTGAAGACAACTGTAGACAACAGTAAAGAATACGAATTAAAAGTTTGCAAAAAGTATTTTACTAAAGTCTAAAATACTGGGAAGGTACGTCTTGAAATTGAATAACCAAAAACAAATTTTATCACGTCCAACTATATTGATGAAACTTTTAGGTTTAGTTGCACAATAGTTAAGTAGGTACACCTATTGAAACGTGTTAAAATGTAATATTAATTTGTTATGATTGCACGTTACAGGTACTGCAAGTGTCGCCAAAGCTTTCAGTAATTACATTGACGCTTTGTTGGACTATCCCGTGAAAACCACGATGACCTATCTCTTCCCAATGAACGTCAGTTTTTTGGCCGACTACCCAGATGTCTTGTCATTCAGCCTCGTGCTACTATTGTCGAGTGAGTATAAAATTGTTACAAACAAACAAGAAACACCACAACCGCAATGCATTTACGATAAATTACTATTTAATCGATATTACCTCTGTAGTTATACTGTCATGGGGAGTCCGCGAATCTACAATGATCAACAACGTGTTTACAGTCGTCAATTTGTTGACCGTGGTCACGGTAATTTTATCCGGATTATTTAAAGGTAACATACATTTTGACATTTTGATGTGAACCGCACATAATCGGTGTTCGTAAATGACAGTAACACTGTACATTAAAATATAATATTTGGTTATCGTTGTTATAGTTAATTCGTACAATTGGAGTATACCGAAACAAGACATACCGAAGGGCGCAAAAGGCGGCGAAGGCGGTTTTATGCCTTTCGGGTGGGCCGGAGTGACCGCGGGGGCTGCCAAATGTTTTTACGGGTTCATCGGTTTCGACTCCGTAGCTACTACGGGTGAGTGTAAAATAGAACAAAATACAATCAATGGCAAATTTTATGCTCTAAGCAATACCTACCCGTAACATCAACTAAAAAAAATGATTCCCGTTCACAGGAGAAGAAGCGAAGAAACCGAAACGTGACATCCCGTTGGCCATCATACTGTCGTTGACCATCATAACATTTGCTTATTGCTGTATCAGCTCGGTTTTAACTCTGATGTGGCCGTATTATGATCAGGTATCGATCGATTTAACAATACAGATTAACCCTTATTCGTTAATAGTACAATATACGAGTATTGTGCGGTTTAACTAAAAAAAAAATTAGGATTTTGGCATTTGATAAAAAATGTTTTTCTTTCATGTGCTCTTAAATTAAATCAGTGCACTTACCTGCATGTTGTAAAATTGCATAACACTCAGATTTACTATAGGTATAATGTATACTTATCTTACATCGTTATTATTGCCTTATACACTATACATAAGGTATAGGTAAAATCTAGATATAATAATTAGTTATATAATATACATTAGGTATAATTAATAATATAATAGTTTTCCCAATGTTTTCAAAATTATAAAATATTATAGGTAGGTACCTATTTATTATAATATCAAATAGTATATACCTACTTTCTTAATCATCATTGATTTCACGCCTAACATATATTTTTGTCTGCTTTATAATACCACAGTCCACATTGACTTCTTTTGTGACTTCGTGACCACTTCGTGTCTTTTATTAAGACTGTGATTGCAAAAATGTTCTTAATAAATTACCTCCTTCTGTCTGGTCTTTTTTTATTATGTGCGTGTGTTTTTCCATGTGAATTTAATAAAGTAGGTATGAGAATAAATTTGTAAATAATTATAAAAGCCCACAATATTATTGATATCACTTTAATTCTGATTTCTAATAAAATTACTAACGGATTTTGAACAATAAATACTTTCATTATCACACGTTATAGGACATCGACGCGCCGTTCCCGTACGTCTACGATCAACTTGGTTGGACGACGTTGAAAATGATTGTTTCATCCGGTGCTATATTTGCTATGTTTGCCAGGTAAGAACACGTTTGTCCAGAATCTCAGTGATGTCTTAATCGCGAACTTACCACAAACTTTATAGTCTCTTAGCGAGCATGTTCTCGATGCCGAGGATTCTGATGACCATGGCCCAAGACGGTCTCATGTTCAACATGTTTTCCATCATTCACCCTAAGTTTAAAACACCCGTGTTGGCTACTCTGATGGCGGGTCTGTTTGCCGGTAAATATGTTATTACGATTACACTATTTATGATCGGCATGTGCAACATTGACCCTGTGTGATAAATAAACAACCACCTCCTTCAGGTATAATCACGGCGCTTTTGAACCTTGATCAACTGATGAATATGATGTCGATCGGTACGTTGTTGGCGTACACGATCGTGTGCATTTGCGTGCTGATGTTACGGTACAGAAACGATCCGGACGGCGACGAGTTGGTAAAAAAACAGGACATCAACGAACCAGAGACCAGAAGTGATTTCTTTAAGGCGCAGGTGGAAAAGTACTTTAACCTGTCCAACGTCGATAACGCCAACAAAGAGACTGAGCGCGTAGCCACGACTATCACAGTGTTATACAGTACGTGTCAAAATCGAATAACCCTTCGAAGAACAATAATTTGTATTTTTTTTAAATTCTTGAAATATATTAACGAAACGGGTCGTTTGACCTTTTGCAGTTTGCACATGCGCGCTGTTCAGCTTAGTAACTGTACAACAAGAGTGCGTCGAGACCACCCATCAATGGTGTGACGAAAACGACATCAACGCCACGGACTTCCAACCAGGTTGCGTGGTCAACGTCAACAACTCTACAACTCCTTTCAAACAAGCTTGCGTTGCCAACAGCTTCGCAAAGTGCATGAGCGTCATCTTAGCTATAGGGCTGTTGTTTCTGTTATTGTTACTAACCAGACAGCCTCAATCGAACAAAAAACTTTCGTTCAAGGTACAAATCATTATAGATCTCAAAAAATGGTATTAAAAGAAACCGAGAATGACACAGGTTATTCAAAAAAAAAATTATTTTTACATAAGTCAAAGACTTTTTATTTTATTTATTTTATGTGCATGTGAACATAAAGTAGCAGAAGAAATGCTTTGATTTTCAACGTATCTGGTAGAAAATTGGGTCTAGTTGGTACTTTTGAGAGGTTTAAATCGAGAATGTCTATAAGTAAAACTTCCGAAGTCCATTTGAAACTTTTAATGTATACAAAAGTATTATAAGTATAATTCCATTTTATACGCACAATGACATTAACAAATGCAATTTTTTCGTCAAAAATTACTTCAACCAACTGTGCCTACTATCAACTATAGTAAATTAAATAACTTTAATAGCAATGAAATCATAAAATGTACTCAGTAATTTTGGGTAGGTATAGGCTAGCAGTCTTCGTTCAGAATTATTTTTCGTACAGAATGATTTTATTCATTGAATTTAAACTTTAACACGTCCTTTCAGTGACCCACTCAATACCTAGTGCACCTATAGCAGAGTGGTACCCATTTGCTCACCTTTTGTTTAATTTTGCTTTTGCCGATTATTTTTAATTTCAAATTTTGATCCCATAACTCAACCAGAATCCTCCCTCAAAGTTGAAGGTTGAAGTATTTTTAGTTTTTACTACTTAAAATAGTAACGACAGCCAAAAATAAATATGTATCATTCATTGGCTCGGTCAGAATATAATGGAAAAAATTCATTTATTTTTGTATATTATTCATTTGTTATAAACTATTATTCAGGTAGATATTTATTTTATTTATAAATATACAACATTTTTTAGTAAATGTATTATGTTCCTTTTTCGTAGGTCCCACTGGTTCCACTCATACCATGCGTTAGCATCTTGATGAACATTTACTTGATGATGAAACTCGACATAATCACCTGGATCCGTTTCAGTATTTGGTTAACGATCGGACTATTCATATACGCATTCTATGGTATGAATAACAGTACTGAAGGTCTGAAGCAGAAAATAGAACAGAGAAGTAGTCGGTCGAGCTCTGCTGAACCCATACACCAGATTTCTTCCGTCAACTTATAGTTATATATTCTCCTCTGGATCTTCCCTAACCTTGTCTAAAACTAAGAGCTATTGCGTGCCTATCCTAAAGTCTGGTGATCCTCACAATGTTCTTAACTACCCTTCCATCACAATCTTACCCTACAGTTCCATGCTTTTGGAATTCAGCATCCCTTCAATCACATTCTAGTTAAAGAGCAACATGGCTTCCGGCCTGGAACTACTTATTGTAATATTTTTTCACCACTCATATTTTTCAGTCGTTTAGAATTCATTTTCAAGTGAATTTCGTGTACACAGATTCCTTTAATGCGTTAGACTGAGTGATTTATGTCTGTCTGGTAAAAACTCTCGATCTCTTGAGAATTTGTGATCCATTTGTATTGGTTACGTTCCTTCCTTGGTGGCCACCATCATTATGTCGCCATTCATGTTGTTCACTCTCTCAGTTTTTCACCCAACTCTGATGTTCCTCAGGGCGCAGTTTCTTCACTGCTACTATTTGAGCTCTTATTAAATTATACCCATTCTATTCTTCTGCATTCTAATCACCTCGTTTTTGCTTATACAATAAAAACACGTGTACCTATGCGTGGTAATTATACATTTATACATAATATGACTGTTTTCTTTTGCAATCCAACTTAATGTGATAGATATCATGCGATGGTCTGACAAAAACTAATTCGATCTATGCCCTATTCTATTAACAATAGCAAAATTATTACTTATAATAGTATAAATTAACTATAAAATATAAAATATCCTTACAAATAGATGAGATGATGTATAGCCGCTGAGAATCGTTTTTTGTATTCAATAATTTATCATTAAATTATATATTAACACATCGGTTACAGTGACCTATTCGATGATGATAATATGTAGGTACACTGGAAATCAGCAGAGCCGATTCCCTTGTATTTATTTTTTCATAATATTTTGATATACTTACATTTTTACAAATATTATTAACTTCATTTTTTGTACATTATAAAATATATTTTATATATAGAACAGATATCATAAATGATGAAGTTGTACAACAAGACCATTCTTGAATCTATTAGTTTATAAATTGCTTGATTTCTATACTATGTTATCATAGTTTGTAAAGTCATAAATTATGAATATTTTCGGTCTTGTGAAATTCGTTCCACAATATTTTTTTAAATATTATATCATCCACATTAAGATATGTTTATCGTTACTTATTGCTATGAATGTATTATGTTATAATATTTATTTTTGTACCTAGAATACGCATTTGTTACCAAAATAATATAATATAATAATTATTAATTACTGAAATTTGTTATTTTTTATGTGAAAAATTGTTATAATTCCAATACATAGCTATAAATGTTATAAAAATAGTTTAGTCGTTTATTAATTGTCTAAGACAATTTTATTCTTAACAAAGTGTTAATTCTTATTTTATATATTTGTTTATACAAAGTTATCCCTCGTAATTCAAAGTCCTTGGGCACAAAACACAACAAATTATAATTTTTTTCAATTTTAAAGAACGTTTAATTCTTAGAATAGAAGAATAAGTTTAATGTTTCTACTCACATTATTTGGTATGATTTATGAGTAATTGAAAAAAGACGAGTGAAGTTATTGGGCAGAGCTTGTGGTAATTTCTCATCTTATCCATTTAAAAATTGCTCGCTTCCCATAATCATTTACCTATCCCGGAAACCATCGTATGTGGAGCCATGGGCTCAAGTAACGTCACTAAAACCCTAATTATTATTCTCAACAGTAAAAACTTGTTAATATTTTTTGTTTAAAAACGGATTTTAAAAATGTTTTTGACTGTTGATAAGTTTTGTGCAGGTTTTTGATTGTTATCAATTATTATTTATAATTTGGCTAACGGTAACAAAACTTGCGAACAGTATTGTATTCAATTTTCATATCTGGCGTATAAAAAGAACATTTTTATGAAATCTCAAAGAGAAAAGTTTTTTAAAAAACTCAAAATAATTTTCAAATGTTCATGGTTTTAATGAATTTTGTCTAAATCCTAACTACAGACTCTCGAAAATATTATTCTGGAATTAGGATTAACTTTTTTTTAATTTCAAATAACAACAACTTAATATGAAGAACCTTGAATTACATTTTCAGATAGGAGTTTAAGCATTAAATATTTATGTTTTTGTGAATCATTAAAGATTTACTGACCATAAACGGGCATAAATGAAATATATAATTTATAGTCACAATTAGGTAAGTAACCTGCAATTATCATGATTGAAATTCATTGTTATACCAGCCAACAGCTATATAGAGTATAGACTGTAACTCTAGCTAACAGTTACTTTTATCACGAACTACGAACACAAATATATTCTAACTTTCAAACAATCTCTGCCACGATGTGAACCATAGGTAATAAAGTTATGTATCAATTATTGTTATAACATATCCTTATAATCAGTTGATTATAAATTATTTGTAATTAATCTTGTCAATTTGTATTGCACCCATTTATTGCTGAAAATCAGAGGGGGAATGAATGAGCTTTAGGGACCAGCCTCAGGACAACTCAAGTAGGTGCCTTCGAGGTCTAAGGTCCATTTACTAGCGGACCACCTACAATATTGAACATGAAGTATGAATTTAGTCAGATTGAAGGTAAAGAGAAATTAATTGCTCTTGTTTCGTCTTGTCGTTATAAGCTGTCTGCTCTCTGGCAGTCACAGCAGTTTGATCTGTTTCTCTCATATGGTTATATAATGGCTTTTCGGATTTACACTCTTTTAGGTACTGTGGTCTGTGAAAGCGTTATTGAAACCATCAAGAACTTGTGTCATTGTTAAAATTAATACACAGTCTACACTTTTACGGCTTATAATAATGTATGGTTGAATTTTAACAAAATTATTCAATAGGTAAGTAAAATTATAAAAATTATATTTAGAACTAACTAACCTTTCAGTGTATTTTTGTTTTATTTTTATTGAACATGACCCGGCCACTGTGGCCATTAGTTGTTTGTAGTAAGAAACGGTTGGTTAATTGGTTTGGAACACGTATTGTATGTCTGAACATCAGGCCAGAGGGTTTTTTGTGTGCTATTTAAGCCATCAACATGACAAAATCCTATCTCTACCAATGCTAATCAGTAATCATCATTGATGACTAAGACTAACACAAATGTTTTACACAAACGAAAATGCTTATTGCCTAAATATTGTCATTTATTAAAGAATAAAAACACACGAGCAGGCCCCTTGAAAAATTTAAATCCAGTGATCACTTACAAAGTCCTTGGATTGTCGTATTATCGATAGTTTATAATATTCGATTGTACCGCGAATTGTAGTTTGTACCGTCCGTGGATTGTACGAATAACGAAACAACAAAAGTAACCTCAAAAATAATATTTTTGAAAAACAAACGGGTTAACGTTAACGGAATTGCTGTTCGGTCTTCGGTATCCACTATTTACTAATTACTAATTAGTAATAATTAGTAAATATTGTTTACTTTTTTATGTTAACTTCCACACTTTTCGCAGCTTAAAATTTGGATTTCCAACCGAAGTTTTCATTGTATAAAACAAGTTAACCGTTTTCGAATTGTTCGTCAAGAACCAACGATAAGTGGTATAATCCAAGTGGTGAGTAATTCCATTATTAAGTTTTCGACTTTACTATAACTTGAATAACAATTTTTCATTATTTTTTTTTGCGTCTTGTACGAATATCAAAATCAAAGAACAGGCACTCCGCAGAAAAATAGAAAAATAGCGATTGTCACATTTACTTTTACATGTGTTTTTTTAAACATTATCATAATATTATGTAGTAACTTACGTTGACGTTCTGCATTGAGTTTTTTAATAGATATACGTGAGATATCAATTAAATAATCATTATGTTTTACACAATATTGTTATGTAAACTAAACAAACCGTTCGAAGGTTTGCTCAATGTTACATTAATGCAACGTCTTGTGTAAATGAATCTGGTGTGTTTTTTCAGATTTAAGAATTACAAATGAGTACTGAATTTGTTGAAGGATGGAGAATTGCTCAAACGTTGGGCGAAGGAACATTTGGCGAGTATGTTAACATCATATTGTACTATATCAAATCTGTGTCTTACAATTTAGTTAACTTCGTCTTGGATTTAAATACAGTTTATGTATCCAGTTAATCTGGGCTTGTCCAATAGGATGTGGGGCCATTATTTTTGATTTTAGTCATAGTGTTTTCAGTTTTAGCACGCACCTTATTTTGTCTTTCCCTGGAGTCTAGTTGTTAAGGATTCCCAATTACATATTTTTCAATACAGCATTTTAAACATTTAAACTTTAATACATGATAGGTGCAATATTACGTAATATATTTAAAGTATGATATGTTATTATTATGTTCATAATATTTTTAGAGTAAAACTTTTGATAAACCAAAATACCAATGGCACTGTAGCTATGAAAACAGTTGATCTTAAAATCTTTCCTGATGCACTGATGATGGTAAAGAAAGAAGCAGCTATACATTCTCGATTGAAGCATTCAAGCATTATAAAATATTTTGGACATCGTCATAGCAAAGATAATTATTTTATATTCTTAGAATATGCGTCAGGAGGTGAACTGTTTGATCGAATTGGTAAGTTAATTAGTATTTATATTTTATTAGACTTAAAAGTAATAAATGTTGTTTGGAACTTAGAACCGGACATTGGAATGCCTCACGCAGAAGCTAAAAAGTTTTTCAAAGAGTTGCTTGCTGGAGTCGTATGTTTCCTGTTTTTATAGACAAATTTATATCTAAACATGTTAGTAATTATATTTTTCTAGGAATATCTACATAATAATGGTGTTGCACATAGAGATTTGAAACCAGAAAATTTATTATTGGATGAACATGGAAATTTAAAAATAAGTGATTTTGGATTAGCGACTTTATTTTTATGTGGTGGAAAAGTAAGTAATACTTATTGTAAAGTGTTTCTTTTCATGTGAGTCTGCTAATATATATGATTTATTTATCATCAATAAAAAAATATATATAATAATTAATGATAACCTATCTATTGGAGACAATTAATATTCACATTTAAAGGATCATTTTGCGCTCGCCTATTTTTTTTATATAATGCCCACTAAAATAATCTAACACTTTATATTGATTTAATTTGAATAGCGGCGTAAACTTGAAAAGAGGTGTGGAACTCGACCTTATTTAGCTCCTGAAGTTCTTTCAGAGTTACCTTATCAAGCTGAACCTTCTGACATTTGGTCATGTGGTATTATACTGGTTTCTATGCTTGCTGGAGGTAATTATTCTTAATAAACACTAATAAATTACTTACATTAATTCACTAATAAACTGGTAATGCATTAATGTGTCAATGTTGATCTCTTTGGTACTTTAGCTGTAGGTATATTTTATAGAGACGCCCTAAAGCTTCTGTACCAATGTTATTGGCAATTGATACTTCATCAATATTTTTTATAATTTATATTAAAATATTAATTACAGTGTGTTCCACATAGAAGAATATATCTTACAGTTTTTCTCAAATTTAATTCTAATATTTTGTTAATTTTAAAAGTTGACTTAGGAAAATATTAAAATAATTTTGAGCTGTATTGTAGAAAAGAGTAAACATTATCATCTTGCACTATTATCCATTTTATTAAAAGAACCTCTTGGCGGTGACCAATTTTTGTCCAATTCTAAGTGACATAATTTCCCATCAGATATCTGCTCAGTAACAATCTCATCTAACACTGCCAAGAAATATTCTAGGTAATTTGATTAATTAAAGTTGATTTGTCATAACTCAATTTTAAAGGTACCAAAACATGATGTAATATCCAAAATTTGTGACCAAAATTCCTTTATGATTTGTTGTGTTATATCTTAAGTGGAACTCACTGTAGTTCTATACATAATTTTGTTTAGTAATCTCTTGATTAAATTCAAACACAATATAAATAGTTATAAAACAGTTTTAATATTATATATTACTTTAAAATTAATTTGTTATTAAATATCTACATTTGTAGATATTTAAATTTTTTTTAAATACTTAAGATTTCTTTTTTATGAAATATATAATATTACAATTAAAGTTTAAATCTCTTAACACGAGTGTTTTCATAATGCATGCATACATTTACTTCTTATTTTTCAATAACAAACTTAATTTCTATTATATTAAATTTAATCAATGTTTTATTTAAAAAATATATTACACAGAAAAATCTAAAAATTTGTAAATATTAGAGAATAGAAATATTAAACATTTGAGTAAAAGCCTTAACTAAACAATATTATTTATATTTTAGTTATTTTTACATTTTCTTCAAATGTAATTAAATTAATATAATATACATATAAGTCATACGAACATGAATGTGACAACAAAATAAATAATGAATTTTAATAAATTTAGAGTTACCTTGGGAAATGCCATCAAGTGATGATGAAGATTATAAATTATGGAAGACTACTGATTATGCTAGTCATTCACCATGGTGCAAATTAGATACCTTGGCTTTGTCTCTTGTAAGAAAAATATTAATACCCACGCCATCCAAAAGATATAATATATCACAAATTCAATCTCATCAATGGTTCACTAAGTCAAAAACATGCGGTACATCTTTATTAAATCAAGCTAATTATTTAAAACAGAATCTAATACACATTCAGGTACCAAGTGATTTCTGAGTATAAAAACAAACATCAGAATTCTCTGGGTATCTTAACTCTGTGTTAGAATAATTATTTTCAATAGTTTTTTTAAATAATTTAATAATATTCAACAAAATTAATATTAATGTATTACTGTAATGTTTATTTAGATAACAAGAAAGTGGGAATTTCTGTTATGTCCGATAGAGGGTCCGATGATGCTCGTCCTTGTTATTCTCAACCTGCTCCAGCGGCCATTCCATTTTCTGTATCTATTCCGCCTAATGAATCTGATATACATTCATTTACTCAGCCTACTCAGGTTGAAAATTTGTTATTGTCTTCGCAAATTCAGACATCACAAACAGTATCGACTACATTAAACGTAATTAATTCATTTTAAATGCAATTTTAAGAAAAATGTTTAATGTACCAATATTTAATTGTTATTTTTTAGAATTCTATTCAGAAATTGGTCAAGAGAATGACGAGATTTATTGTTTGTTTATCGTCTGATGAAGCATTAGCTTCTCTATCGCAGTTTCTTGATGATATGGGTTATACATGTAAAATCAATACATCTGGTTTGGTAAGTTACCTACTAAAATAGATTTTTTAAATATTAGAAATAAAATATTGTATTTGATTAGGTTACAATTACCACTGCTGATCAGCGATTAGTGTTTAAATCTAATGTGATTCCAATGAATCATCAAACACTCATGGACTTCAGGCTCTCAAGAGGTTGTGGATTAGAATTTAAAAGACATTTCGTTGCCATTAAAAATGCCATGTCAAAATTGATATCCAAAGGTCCGATAATGTGGCCTGTTGCCATGGCAACCAATACAGTACCATGAGCTACAAATGTACCATATTTAATATGATATAGAAGACAGTCAAGACTGATGTATAAAAGATAATTTATTTACTAATAAGTATCATTTTGTATGAAGTAGATCAATCTTTGCAAAAGTTATAAGTTTAAAAAGAATGTGTAAGGGTATGTGTAGCTATTCAGATTTATATTATTTTGTCCTTATTATATCTTATGTGGTAAACTACCGTGAATTTTAATGCTAACTACAATATGGGATGATACAGCATACCATATTGTTGTGTTCATCTAGTATTTTATATTTATTTTATGACCAATACCCTTAATTAATGACTAGATTTTTATTTAATTTTAAATACAATTTTATTTTATACTACTTATATTTTATACATTGACTATAAACTGTAATTACAACCATAGTTATGGTTATTACTGTGATTATGTCATTCTTCAATTTTGTAAATTAATAAAATATTTTACTTTTTTTTGTACAATCTTTCAAGAGTATATTATAATTGAAACTAATAAACACCGTGTTTTTAATTATTACTCTTTAAATAATCAGTTGTTTTTAATTTTTTCAATTGCTTAAATTTTATTCCAAATACATATTGTATTGAACTTTTGAAGGTTGAAGGATCAATAACATAAATAATTTATATTTATTGCATTGTTATACGATTGTAAGACAAATTTCTAACAACTCTTTTGAAAGTACAGCATGTATAACCCACTGTCAAGAACTGTGAGCCCATGTCCCTCATTCCAAGTGATAAAAACAAAAGTTGAACCCCATAGCATCAGATTATAATTTGTACAACACTGCGCACTTCCGTTGAAATTATTGAGTCATAGTCAACAATCAACATACTGTGTAACTCTGTATATTAAGAGTAGTTATTAACATAGACATAGAATAAAAAGGTCTAAGGGGGCTACAGTCACCCTGGAATTTTATTTAACCACCCATCCTGTAAATGTTGTTTAAGAATATAATATTATGTTGCGTACAAGAAACATAATAGGCTGAGCCCCTCTGTATAAATTTGTCACGCTATGCTAATGGTTATTAATTCTGTTTATACAATATACACACTAGTATTTTATAAAATGTAATACACACAATTATGGTGATTGTGCTGATACAATTTTCATTACTTATAGGCCGGCCCAGCATACTGTAAAAACCATTTTTGATCAACTTGCCTCAATAATGAGATACACAAGATCCATGAGACGGGTATGACAAATAAAAATGATTCAATATTCAGTTAGTATTTAAAAATGACCATAATTATAATCCAAATGTCGTGTATTTGCTGTTTTAATGATAATCTTCTGATCGCACTTGAATTAGTTATAGGATTGATATTAATCCAATTCATACGGAAAGATTTGAATAGAAATGAAATGAGGGAATGAAAACGTTCCAGATTTATGTGTTGAAAATCTATGCAGAAGTTTTACTGTTTTGGTGTGGTAATTACCGAGTCTGATAAAAAAAAAAACCAAACAGTTTAAATTCTTAGAAATAAAAATAATCGTGGTCTTCAGACAAAAAGAGTATTCAATTGTTCTTGTAATAATATTTGCAAGATAGCACTAATGCAATCATAGACTTATAATATATATTACAAGTCTATGAGTGCACTAGTACCACTGGCTAATTAAGGTCTAGACAATTGATAAGAATACCAATTAATTATAAATTTACAAAAACAAGTTAACATGATAAATATAATATAATATTGGTTATAATTATTTGATTTATAAAAAATAAATACATTTCACAAACATGGACTACGAGTTCTGATTACTATGGAATATAATATAATCATAATTCCTAATTATAATATTTTTAATCATCTCTTATAAATAAATCTATAATAAACAGTAACAACTAACAATATGCTATGGTATTTAATCATAAAAAAATTACTCATCTACCATACCATAATTTTTTTTTTTTTATTGGACAATCGATTTCTTAATTATATCGTGTAGTTAACATTAATTCTTTGGTATTAACTGTGTATTGTATAAAACTATTTTATATAAATTGTTACTATTCAAATTTGATATAAAATATTAAACATTTTTGATTTTATCGTTTAATTATTTGAATTGATAAAAATATGAATCATAAACAATGTCTTAACAATGACAATTATTCAGTCTGAACAACCTTAAGGAATGTATATGGCACGAAATAATTGCGTAAAACAAATAATGTTGAAATTTGAGTAACTGTTAACATATTTAATTTGTACAAATTATTTGGCAAAACTGGTTACAATGAACAAATTTTAATGAATTATAGTAACAACTAACATTATAACAGTAAATATTAATTATCTCAGTGTTTGATTAAATATTAAAGTTTAAATATCCTATAAAGGATCCGTGTTGTGAAAAACAAATCACATCAGCTTTGGCACGATTATTAAATAAGTGAACTTGAAAAGTAACAGTTAATGTTATTTAGAATTATTAATATTTCATATGGTTTTAAAATATAACCTTTTGATATTAATTGATTTTATTTACTTTAACACAACTAATCACTAATTTTGATCTAAAGACATCTGTCTAAAAAAAAAAGCACCGAGCAATATAAAAGCAGGAAGCCAAATTAAATATCAAAAAAATAAATAGTATATAAAGTCAAACAACGAGCAATTAAAGATCATCATAAATATTCTAATGCTACAAATTTGGTTGAATATATTTATAATTGGTCTTCAAATTTTGTTGGTTCTGATAATATTATTAAGGATTGCTCATTGTAGAATCATGTCTAGTTTTCCTGATCCCAGCATCATCACTTCCTCTGAGCATTTTCTGACTTAAATGCATTGTTTGATTAAAATCTATTGCTGTATAACTTGGAATTTCTGTAGGAGAAGTAGGCAATGATTCACTCTTTCTTTTGGGTGTGCAAGCAGCTATTTCCACTTCAGTATAAGTGGGAGTATCTTTGGGTAACTCAAAGGGATCATTGAACAAATCGTCTTCTTCTTCATTGTCGTTCAGCATGTTTACGTAAGAACTTTTTGGTAAAAATGCAGTATCTGGGTCCAGCATAAGATCTGGAGGTTGGAAGTTGCTGTTTGACTCGCTACAAAACCTTAATCCATTGAAATTGAATTCATCGTAAACTTTTTCAATTGTATTAGTACTTGTATATGACTGACCAGAATAATTACGTACTTCAGAAGCGATATCGTTGACTGGATCTGTTTCACTTTCAATCTAAAATAAATAATTTTTTCATAATTTAATTTACATATCTATTAATATTGTTTTTTAAGATATCCATCCTTTAACTTCATTACCCACTTTTGTATTAAACATAATTATAATGTTGACCGTAACTCAAAAAAAAAATTAAAACATAAATTCTATAGAAATAGCATTTTGTTGTTAATTAATATGTCACTCCACGAGTTCAATGTTATATTTTTGTCAATTAATTTTGTTTTAATATTTAGTTTAATTTTGATTTTTGAGATGTTAATGGGTAATAGGTTTATATTACTTAATATTTAATAATAATATTTTTTTTTTTTACTATACCTGTAATTTTTCTTTGACGGCATTAAAAATGTTTTTAGCGTCTTTACTTCTGAAAGCAAATATGCCTTGGCCGAAAGGAGAAGAGCGGCCGGCTTCAAAGCAAAACATGAAGTCTTCATACCCATAACGGCGAATTGTGCTAAGCGGCCATATAATAGACGGTTCTCCACTCTTATGCAATATCAGGTTGCAAGTGGCGATCTCCATTTGGCCATGGTACTTTTCCCTGCCGTTGTCGTCTATATTTATAACCTGCGACCATTACAGGCACGTTGATAATTAATATTCGAAAATTACTCATCGAGAGCACCGATGTTGCTACTGTACTTACTTTGAAGAAAAAAGGGGGCAAAGTTTTTCTGCTGCTGTAAACACAGCCCATATTGTCACAATCACATATCTCGGGTAACGCAAATTTTTAAACCAAACCTATCCCCCAAATATATTCGGTCGTATATTACGAGTTAATTAATTGAGAGACGAAAAAAAAACAGGAACGAAATGAATACAATAACAGACAATTAGCGATTTGTCGCTCGACGGGAGTAGACTAGCAGTCAGCAGACTGCACAGAGCACCACTGCACCAGTGTTTATAATCTTTAATCTGTGCCTGCCCTATGGTGTAGTAAAGTTTTGTAGACCTCTAGACCAGGGGTGTCCAACCTACGGGCCGGCCCGCCAAATCGATTGATGTCTTAAAAAAATGTACTAATTGTTTGCATTGTTTCTAATTTGTTAGTTATTATAAAAATTAAAAAAAAAAATAATAAACTAATAATAGAAAAAATCCCCGTCGATCGATCACACATATTATGATAGCGTTATCGTCGTCGGACGTCGAACTGTTATCAGCTGACCGGGGCTTTCGACGACAGGGGCGATAGGGTGTTCAAATGTACACAATAATTCTATGCATTTAATACTAAACCAAAATGTTTTGTGGGTATTATTTTTACTTTTATGAACCCTCCCTCTTACTTAAACCACGACAGTCTACAGCTAGATGGGAAGACTAGTCACCTTAACCATAGCCAAGAGATTAGTCTAAGTGTTTTTAACGGTGTAGACGGAAGTATCATTCCACGATTGTGCCTAGCAATAAACTATATTTTCAACATTTCAAGTTCATTTTTCTAGAAGACCAGGAATAGTTTTTTTATGTGGAATTTAGCGAGTACCTGCTATTTGTCTACAGTCTCACATTTGAATAGTTTTGTCACATTCCAAAAATCAAACAGATTTAGTTAGGACATTAAAGGATGAAGTGCTCGAATGTTCAAAATATAAATTTACAACAAAATAGTAGTCGTCTAAAATCAAATAGTAATTCTTTATGTATATGTTACTCATTTTTTTCAGATATTTTATTATACCTGATTTCCAGATATTGGTGAAAAATGTACCTACTTATAAAAATGATAAAGATCACTTTCATCATGAAAACCATCAATCAAAATGCTCCATTGGATTACCAATATTTAGTGTGCTACAGTGTTATGAAAAATGAGTTGATATGTTATGGACTTAAGTAGTTTTAAATTTCAATTTAGAAAAGTTGTTTCTAAACAACAAGCCTCTTGCAACCTACTCAATTATTATTCATAATTTATGAATCATAAAGGAAAGTAACATAATATTAAGTGATTAAAAACATGTTCTTGTAAGAGAATTTTCAAGTATATCTTTAATTAAAATTTGTCAAAATAAAAGTTGTATAAATTAAATATCACCAATGATTATACACGACCAGCGATGTTGTTATTTTATATAAAACAGATACAATCATATTTAATTAAATGATAGATTTTCTAGAATTTTTTTTTTCCGAGTTTTTGGCCAATTTATAAAATGGATTTATGCGGTTTGTATCTGGTGTCAATTTCAAAACTCCTTGAACTGGCTGTTTAGAAGCATCATGTGGATTTTGAGGCTTAGTCACTAACGATGTCCTATACTCCATAAACTCTGAAAAAAAAATGAATATAATTAACTATTGTTTCAATTACAAGAAATTCTGTTGCAACAAACATTTTTTACCTTGCTCAACATTGTTTTTCAATTGAAATTCAACTCTTTTCTTAGCAGAATCAGTTTTAATGGAAAGCCTTGAACTTTTTCTAGGAGAACCAAAACCATCCTCAAAAGCCTCACTTCGCTACGATAAACAAAAACCAAAAATCAAATTAAATTTTAACAATTTACAAAAACTTTGTAACAATATAGGTAATTACTTTAACTTACAACTTTTTCAAGTGCCTTATTCGAAATTTCTTCGGGTTTTAACACACTTATTTCTTCTCCTGCTATTGTCTTCCTACGTTTTTGCGATACTTTAGTAGCTGAAGTTTCTTTCACTTTTCTTTTAGGTGTACCTTCCTTTTGTCCTTCGGGCTTCTTGGGAATTATAATTGTTCTTCGTCGCAATACTCTTTGTTCGGGAGTTGGACTTTTAGGGCTTTTAGGGCTCTTGGAACTCTTATCTGGTGTACTTACAGATGTTAATGAAACACGTTTTTCTACTTTACCAGGTTCGTCACTATTTTTAACTTTTTTAGATGCAGAACCATCATTGTTAGCAGATACCGACCAACTATCGTTATGACTTGTGTTTACAATATTCGGTGAACAAATCTTAACAAAAGGAGAGTTTGAATTTTGAATACTTTTCTTATTTGGTTTATTAGCAGTGTTTGATACCGGGGATTTGGATTTATTCAATTTGAGTTTTTCATCACTGCATACGCTCCAACTCTCATTTAGGCTTGAATTTATATTCATTTCATTAGAACGCCGTTTTAGTTTGGATATAACTAAATCATCAATTTGAATTTTTTCCTCATTTCCATTATCTGGTGTGGGACTTTAATTCAAAGGTGAAGCGTTTACTACTTGTAATGCTTTAGCAGACTCTATGCTCTTTTTAACCTTTTTAGATGCAGATCCTTCATTATCGGCAGATACTGACCAACTGTTGTTCTGACTCGCATTTAAAGCAATAGGTGTACCAGTTTTAATGAAAGGAGAATTTTGTTTTTGAGTAATTTTTTTATTTGATCCATCATTAATTTTTGTAATTGGACTTTTACTTTTGCGTTTATTGGAATTACTTTCTTTTGCAGACGAATCAACTGTTAAGGTTTTGAAATTTGGGGTTAAAGAAACCTTTTTCTGAACTTTTGTAGGTGTTTTTTCTTGAGTCTCAGAAACTTCAACATTAAATCCAGCAGGCACCAGAAGCGGTGGTTCATCATCATTATCACACACAGTGTTCGTGTCGTCAACTTTTGTTTCCTCTGATACTGTCCACGATCCATTTAAATTGAAATTCTCTTTCAATGCATTGACATTATCAAACTTTCTTACTTTCCACACAGATTTTCCAATTTTTCCACGTTCTACTACTATCTCACCCATCTTATTAAGTTCTTTAAGACTTTTATGGTCACTAACTTCACGGCCACTTTTTTTAATCTTAGAATCAACCATTTCTAACTTTTTAACTCCTTCTTTTACCATTTTAGATAAATATTTTTTTTTTTTTCGCTTTAGAACTTGACTATTGAGTTTCAAGTCTTTTGGCTTATATGGTAGTATACCATCTCCCAAACGATTATACCATTTTATTAATTTAGTTATTTCCAATAAACACTTTCTGGTACAATCAACTTCAGTTACATATTTATTCAAAATTTTTGCTACGTCTTTAGGATTGAACTTGATGCGAGGTATTTCAACACTTACATTTCCGGCACGAGGATCTAATGGCTTGTCATTTACTTCATTGGAATCATCATCTGCTATGTCACCTTCAACTAATTCCAAGTCGTTATATGATTTCCCTGGTTTACCCATCTAACATAAAATATTGGAATTAAATTAAACAATGCAACTACAATAATATAAATACCTCTATAGTATATAGTTTCATTTAAATTAGTGATTCAACAAACTCATTGAAATTCAAAAAAAAATTTTTTATGTTCCAACCAAACTATTCCTACATCTGGCATAATAAGTCCAACTATGAAAATAGAATTTTAGGTATTTAGAGACAATATTGGTAACTACAATTTTTTTGAAAATATTATAAATGTATAAATACAAGTACACCACTATGCAGGTATACACACATATGATATGATTAGCATTATTATTTAAAGTAATCATTTATTTCACAATATCTATATATTTAATACATTTTAAGACTATTTTAACTTTTAAGTAGTGATAAGTAAATTGAATTATGATAAAATATGTAACTATCATTTATTCAAAAATGAAATTTTGCTGATACATACGTTTTGTTTTAAAATTATTATAAATTATTAAGATATTTAAATAGTTTGATTCAGTTTAGCAAATCTTTATAAAAAGAGGTTGGTTTGGGTTTGAACAATCACTAATTTAATTAATGTAATAAAATAAACTGAGAAAGAAAATAATTAATAAATTACTCACTTTTCGCCAAGCTTCAAACTTAGCTTCTAACATTTCTAAATCAGGTGATTGAGATAGAAGATTTCTAAATACATTTTGAGTAACTTCTCTGATCAACATAAAATCATTGAGCTCAGAAATGTAACGTAGGAATGAATCTAAAATAATGACCAATGCTTCAGAAGGTACTTTTCCTCTACTTACCTAAAAAATATATAACATAATTTTAACAATTATGTACATAAAAAACAAACAAAAATACATACTTTAGCAAGTTCTTCCAAGAAAATTTCTTGTAAATGTGTTCTTAAACTAAGAGTGAAAGATTTGAGAGCTCTATATAGAACCTCATTAAATTTATTCATATACTCCGAATTCCAATCACAATTGACAAAAGTAAATAGTAACTGTCTTAAACAACGCCTCACCAACATCATAAATTTATCAATACGATGCTGACTTATAGACATCCAATCATCTTTGATGGTGAGAAAAAATGCATCCAAAAATAATATTTTACCTTCATAAGAAGTGCAACTATGAATAAGATTACTTATTTTTTCAGTAGCACTTTCCTGAAAATTATTTTCAAAATTTCATTACCGTATGACACATACATAATATTAAATATATACGTATAATAAACAAAAATTTGTATCGCTAAATAGAAGTGTCCACTATTTTGATGCATGAGCTTTCACTGAATTTAGTGATTCAACTAGGGTGATATACTTTAAATCTTTAGATATAAGCATAGAACTTACAATATTATCAGGTTTATGGCTATAAATCAATTGAAACTAAGTATAATGTCTCAATTTAAGACATTTATTATTACAGAGTATTTAAATATTAACATTTAAATTATAACATATAATTTTGAATGATAACTATGTTTTCCTATAGAATACTGATGTACAAAATAATAGAAACTTAAGTTTTAATTATTAATTCAAAATGCATAAAAAAGAAAGGTAATCGTAAAAAATGACAGAAAAAACAAGTCAGGTAAAAAACGTCACAGCAAAAAACAACAAAGTTATAAGCAGTTAATATAAGTAATACAATGTATAGTATTATTATTATAAGTTATTATACTGAAATAATATATATAATCGCCACTAGATAAAACAACAATAACAGGTTGATTGTCTTATAAAACCAATACCAAATAACTGTTGCAGATAGGATATACATATATAAGAAAAATTTAGCAGATAAATGTATAAAAAATCCTATAATCTCTTGAGTATTGGGTATATGAAAGGTTTAAAATGTATGACTGGATAACGGTGATGAGAAACTGCACCTCCAATACATTTTGGGACAATCCTAAGAGTTTGATATTTTAATCAATGTTTTTCCTGCCTATATGATAATTGTGATTTTTGGATGAAAATTAATTTGACGTTTTTTTACCTTGTCGTTTTTAACTCTTGTCATATTTTACTGTCGTTTTTTTTCCTAGATTCTAAAAAAAAAATGATGAATAATTTTTAAGTATTCTGAAATAAAAAGCATTTAGTGTTAAATAGACGTCATACACATTAAGTTTTAATTAAAACAAATAAAATATTATTTACTTGAGGTAGCGGTTTATCAGACATCCACATAAAGTAAAATAATCCTCTCCATATAATCAAATAATCATTCAATTGAAATGCTAAAAAAATTCAAAAGTAATAATTAATAATGAATACCAACTAAAGAAATAATGTATAATAATATTCTGTTTTAACTTTAAAATTAAGATAGTAGGATTCTAGTGGGTACTTACTGTCAGTAACGCATCAAAGGGGGAAATCGAGAGGTGGCCACCCCTAAATTTCTCAAGAGGTGGTGACCAGTGGGAGTGAGTGGATGGTCAATAGGTGATAATTTAATATTAACTTTTAGACTATTTTAGTAATGACAACAGGTAGTTAAAATATGTAAATGAGAGCATATACCTCTATAGAATTTTTAATGTTTTAAAGGGGGGGGGGGATATTAGATTAGCCTCGCAAAAATTTCAATTTCACCAAGCCAATGCTTACCTCCCTCCTTTCTCTAGAAATTTTTTTAAAATCTATCATATACTTTCAAGCAATGGTGTAACTACTAATATATATTAATGAAAAAGGTGAGGGAGAGGATAAAAACATAAATTAAACACAGCAATCCCTTTATTAAATCTATCAGCCATTTATATCACTTTGTTTAAGTAATTTTCCTAAATCTTTAACTTTACTCTTTTACTGTACAGCTCATTTAATTATGCCCTCATGACAGACAATAACAAAAACCACTCAAGAGAATGTCAACGCAATATTTGTTTCTCTCTCAGACTCACACAACATAGAAAAAATTACTTTAGAGTACCAAAAATCACCTATTACAGAAACTATAGAGGATAATATTTTTGAGGGAATGACATATCAATTTTATATTTTATCGTTATTTGACTTAGTATCTTTCAAAACAAAAAAAATTGTAAATTGAAATGATGTTTAAATTGTTTTGAGACAATATTTAGACAAATAGATACGTCATTTTCCCAGAAATATTATTCTCAATCAATTTTTTATTTTTTCAATGGGTTATTTTACTCCAAGATTATTCAAAATTATTAAAAAAATGATTCTACGTAAATGTGTATTGTCTATGTTGAGCATTGGCCAGAGGGAGAAAACAAACAGTGTCATCCTCTTATTTTTAAATTTAAAACAATATTATGTATGTATCTCGGTATGCAAAGACAAATATAATATATTATTAACAAATTATGTATAGTCTTAGGTATGGTTACAATAAAAACCAATCATGGTGATATCTATCTTCTCAAAGGAATTTTTTCTTTTCTTAAAGGTAGTAATATAAACATTTATATTTTATAGTTCATTGGTGTTTTAACAAGAATTGTATTAGTTATTATCAAGTTGTTTTAAAATGTATTAACACTTCCATGATAAGATTTACTATAACTTTTAATGTCAAGCATTTTTATATTCAACACACATTTCATTAGTAGGGGATGGATTTCTTTACCATATAGAGATAAAAAATAAATATATAGGTAGGTACTTAGGAAATAAATATTAAAATAAAGTGAATAAAGAGTGTAAATGCAACAAACCATCACTCGTGTCTCCTGAATGTTTCAGTAACAGTTGTTTAATTTGTTTGATACCATCGCTTCTAGTTTTGGGATCATTTGATGCCAATAACTTTGTGAGTTCTATCTCTTTTGCCACCAAATCCACTTTGTCTTCTGGGACTACCACTGTGTCTTCTGAGGCTACGGTAGCCATTATTCGTTCTAGAGGTTTTGTTTAAATTACTGGGAAACAAAAGGGGGGGATCGCAATTAATAACAATATTTTGAAACTGAATGAATTATATAATAGTTCACAAAAATTTTGAAAACAACAGTGGAAATTATAATAATTTTAAAGTTGAATAAGTTGTAACACGTGTCACGTGTGTTGCACGAATAAATAAACTTTAGTCCAGAATCCTGATAACGTGTTATCACAACAACATACTACTCGGACCGTTATTTCCACGATGTAGATAATATCATGATAGAAATAACTATATAACTACTTATTTCTATCATGGATAATATTATTATGATGATGAATTTTAAAAATCACGAACCAAGACCACAGAATAGGTGAAATCCAAGGGGGTGGCTAACGGGCTTTAGCCCCCCCCCCAAATGGCTAGCCCCAAAACATATTTTATTAGGTTTATTGACAATTGACTTGACATTTGACTTTAAATTATTATAAAAAAAAAATATCAACTATCGAAATTTAAACATTAGGTATAACATAATGTCACAATATTATATTATATTTATACCTATCATTCCGGGCCCCGGGAGAGACCTCTGTTGTTTATTATTATCGTTGCGACGTCGTTAGTTGGAACTGTGTACTGTATAGGATACCGGAAACGTACCGGTAANTTGGCCGATTCAAAACTTATTCATTTTACCGCGCATTTTACTGCCGCAGATATTTTGATAACAAAATTATTATCAATTACATTTGCTAGGTATATTGTATATATATAAATATATAATATATATATAATGTATTTATTTATTTTAATGCACTTGGTCATTTTACACAATTATACTAATTTATATTTGTATAATATCTATAGTAGGTACTGAGTAATAAAATATAATAGTTATGAAAGTAAATATTATAAATTATAATATAGGTACCACTTATTTTGAAATTCTAGATATTATAAAGGTACCTAATACCTTATAACATTTTTTAAATAATTACTATACTAGTACCAATTCTAAGTATGTGGTAGGTACATAACTGTTACACATTCTACAAATATCAAAAAGTATCTACAATTTTGTAGTGTAAATAATACAACAATTAATATTTAAATCATCTTGGATTTAAATCAATTTTACTAAAATATGGGAATTAGTTATGCATGTATTATTTATAATGTAATTCATTTATTTTATTGCATTGACACCATTTATAATTTTAATTTAATACATAATAATATATAATAGTAATAATATAATAATTAATATAATGATGTTAACTAAAGAATAGATCTTGGCTTTGTAGAACACAGTATACCTACCTAAATGATTAATAATTAAATTATTTAAATTTAAAAGAATGTTTAGTGATTTATGAACGGTTAAGAATAATGGTTTAGTACATTGTTTCATATGATACTCTATGCATGAAGAGGTTAACAATACATAATTGCAATAAATTACATAACCAAACACATTTAAATATTGTCACTATAACAACAGAAAAAAGTAAAAACAATGATATATCATTTATAGCAGGAATAAACTTTGTGAAAAATTAATATCAATGTTTCATTTAAAATAAACTATTTATTAGTCGTTCCCATTGACATAAATTTAGGATAGATGAGCAGTTGATTAAACTGTGCTTGTTTTTATTACTTATATTTTATTATTGATATTATAGTAGTAACATAATATGTACCACATAAGTACATAACCATATGTTACAGTTAACATTATTAAATATACTTGACATAATAATTAAAGTATTAATATAATATGCAACATTGCAACAACTACCTATTAATAAACTAATGTGATTTAGCATTTGGTTATAACTTATAACTAAAAATTAACTTTTTACAGTGAAATAAGTGCCTCGTTGGCAGTTAGTAAGGTACATAATTGCATTGTAAAAGCATTAATTTAACATTTTTACTTTATCTGGGATTTGAATAACTTTTCCCCATATTTAATTAATGTGGAAAAAAAAATATATTTATCATATATACCTTGTCAATTGCAATTCTAATCATACCAATATACCAATTACCAATACTATACCAAGTTGGACAGTGATAAATCATTATTGTATATTTTTATACTATAAATAGATCATTAACAAATATAGTTTGTCCTTTATGCATACATAATGTCTTAGGTTTTATTCTCTTAGAATATTACATTTCATTTGTATTAATTAATCCGATTGGTATTCTTGTCATCGTTTTCAACAATCTAGTGTAGTTTTGTAATTAAATTGTTTTTATTTATTTTCTTTCACTCACTATACTAAGTATATAAAGTAGGTATCTATGTGAATAAGTAGATATTAAAATGAATACAATCACAGTAAATTTAACTCCAGATCAATTACCTTCATCGTTTAACAATGAAATTATAAGTTGTAGTGAAGGTAATTACGTTATACGTTCAAATATAACTAATTTTGATCTTTGTGACAAATGGGTTGGTGAATTTTCTGAATTATCATGTACATCTTGGCAAGTAAGGAACACTAATCAAAACAGTGAACGCTTCATTAGCAGGTAAGATTTCAAGTAATTGTAATCAATATTGTAATGTATCTCTGCTTAAATTATCTTATTAATTGTATATACCTAATAAGTGACTAATTGTATAATTTATTCTTTAAACAATACCTATAATATATTTAGTTTTGTATTTAAGTATAAATTATGATAATTATCATAATACCTATATTCTGTATTAGTTATATTGTACCTATATTGAATTATATTCTGAAAAAACTATATATATGTTTCAGAAAAGATTATACTTGTCATCATAGTAATTTTAGAAAAGTTGAAGCAGCACAAAATAAAAGAGGTAAATCTAAAAATATAAACTGTCCTGCAAAAATAAAAATTATCGTGAAGAAAACTACTGTTGATACTCTCAAGAAGGATAAATTTATTAAAGTAAGATTATTTTAATTTAATTATTTACTTTAGGGTACAAATAATGAATTATATATTTGATTGTTTACCGATTTAAATTAATTTACAGTCAATAAATGCCATCATACATATTTTATATCTTATTCTTTTCATTTTCAATATTTATTTCATTCAATAGGTACTGCATATAAATTACATTGCTATTGTTTTTTAATACCTACATGAATAATGTTTAAAATAGATAACTCAATGTCTCAATAGCTCATGAAATATATATTATATACCTAATTGAGTTTTAGTAAATATCACAAAGTTTTTTTATTGTATAAAAATATATTTATTACCTACTTATTTAGAATGGACTTGTAGCAGTAATTAATATACTGAGTATTCATTCTCATTCGATAACTACTGCTGAAGCTTTGAGTAGTTTAAAAGTGTCTGAAGAAACTAAAAAACAATTTGAGAGTTATTTCAATGATGGACTTGGTGAGTATAAATAAATTAGTTATAAATAGTGAACCCATAATATGTTAGCAGCAAAGTTTATAATAGGTTTTGTAGCTCTATGTAAGACCTTTGCATTTTATATAATTTCTAGCCTATTTGAAAGAAGTACCTATATAATACATTGTTTAATTTAATAAATTACATTGGAATTATACCTAACCTAGGCATTATAGAGAATAACCAATTTTTTTTAATTTTATAGTTTAAAATACTATACCTAGTAATTAGTACCACTCTTTAAGAGAAATGAAAACATTTCAAGGAACTTATACTCTGTTAATAGGAGATAAAATCCATATTGTAGTATTTATAAACAACATAATATTATGAATTATAACAATAAAACAAATATTTAAGTTATTAAAATAAACAATCTTGTATAAGATACTTATTAAATAAGCTATAAAGATACAAATACACTAATCTAGAAAGTGTATAACAATTTTTCAATTACTTTTATCATCTTTAAATACTAGTTGGTTTTCCAAATTAATTTTGAAATAACTAATTTAAAACTATAAAGACTTTATAGGACCATTTATGAGTGAAAAACTATTATAAAAAAAGGTATAATAATTTTCAAAAAAAGTGTGTGATGACTTATGAACAATTTGATTGAATTTTGAAAAGTATTTCATTTTCAAATACAAATATGGCCAAGACAGTATTTAAAATACTTTACAAATACTTAAATTAAAATATTATTATTATTTTTTAGGTATAACTGATGCAATATTATTTCATGAAGANAATGCTCTCTCAATAAAAGAACTATCTAGACTATCAAGTTTGACTAATGTACATGGGCCGTAGACTTATCTAGGTAGATTTGATCTATGCGCTCTCTATGACTGCTCTAATTAGAGCACATTTCACTCTAGTGTAAACACACTTCTAGTGCAGTCTAGCTAGAGCAATCTAAATCTAGCTGTATTTATCTCTACAGTGTACAGGCACCTTAAAGATCTAGACCACGAACTGCGATAGATCTTAAGTTCGTGATCTAAACGGTCACGGTCACGGTCTTAGATTATTCACTCTAGATAAAAGTCTTCTTCAAAAATTCGATAATAGGTCAATTGCCTGTCCGGCTGTCATTGTAACCACAGAATATAAATTATAGAATAAATTAAACATACCTGAGTTAAACAGATTATTCAGAACGTACAATTTGCTATGGTGTGCGTTTGTAAGACGTTTAAATATTGGTGCTTCAAATAAATAATACCAACTATCAGTACTATGATATTAATAATTAGTCAGCGATTATACCAATAGATGATCGTACATTTTTTTGCATTAATTCTGTTATTTTTATTTATGTTTAATACACAAATAATAATTATCAATTGAATTACCCGCCAATAAAAAAAATGTTAAGACAAAATTCACTTGAAGTTACTATATTATTGAATAAACGCAATACGCATCATGTATTAATTTATAAAAATATAATAAATTTAATATTTGAATTAGCTTTGAATAATATAATACACAAACAATTGACAGTACAAATTATAGTCATTGTAATAAATAATAATTCAGAATAAATTAATACGTAATATTAACAAACATAATATGTTTCCGATAAATACAAATAATATTATTACATTTTGACTAAAGATAGGATAACTTTTTGTAAATAAAATAATTCAATTTTAAATTAAAACCTTAGAAATATTCATTAATAAATTAAAAATTATACTGTAGTTATCACAGGCTTTTTTAAAATGTGTATTTATTGCACAAAATATTTTGGTTAATACTTAGGTATATTATATCACTGCATATCCCTTATTCTGAATATGTCGTTTGAGGAATTCAATTGAATTTAATATATGATTCCGAATCTGTGGACTGACCAACAACTTATGTGTTTGATCTGGATTATCTGATTCAGTTTTTGATTCCATGTTTAAAAAACTTTGTGATTTACGTACATAATCAGCAACTCGAGAATATGCTGTATCGTTCTGTAAATGAAATGCAAATTATTTAAAAATTATTTGAACATAGGTTGCTGGATATTTTATTTTATATTTTTGTTAGTACCTGTGCTGTCATACAAATAGTTATTGTAATCAGTGAAGGATCACGGTGTCGTAGACTAGGAGTAACAATTTGAGTTATTGGTAAGCGTAGTACATTCGGCATCATACAATTTGGATCTTTGATTAAATATAAAAATCTATTTGTCAAGACCAATGTTAATTCCGATACTTTAAGTTCTTGGTCTAAATTATCTACAGTTGCATCGCAAGTCAATAGAACTTGCTCTGTTGTGCTCAAATATTTGTTTAATATTAGCCATGAGTATCTAAGTTCTGATGCACCAAATCCTATTTCACTGTTGCTGAGACTTGAACGCAACTAAACAAAAAATAAATAATGTCTGATAGCTACACAAAATAAAATTGGTTGTAAAAGTTTGATCTTTCTATCGTAACCAAAATAAATAAATAAATACATTTTTTTCTCCACCCTTCACTCACGACTATAAGGGATCAACCGTCCTTGTCCAATTTGATTCTTTAGGGCCTGTCCTCCACCTCATCTTTACACACACCAGCTTTTTTTGTGTCATTCTCCATTCTGTTTATCCATATTTGGTTTGATCCTAGTCTCTTTTTTTTGCATTCTACATTCGCCCATATCCACTCCACCTCCAGTCATATATTTTCATAACATGATCAAACCAACTTATCCCATCCTCCCTTATTTTGTCTATAATTGGTGCTACTTCTACACAATGCCTAATGAATTAATTTGTATTCTATCTTCCCTAGTATCTCTACATATACACAAACAATTCTAGGTTAAGTTAGGCACTACACTCTTTCTTTGTTTGTTGTATTGTTAGTCAAAATAAATAAATACCGAAGAAAAAAATTTAAAATAGATTATCATATGTTATTACCTGAGGACTTTTAATCCAACCTACGCCAGCTAAAAAACCTTCGCCTGTCATTGCTACTAGTTCCGCAGCTCCACTTATTGGTTTTGTAATGGCTTCGACAAAACCTATAGCTACAGTATTGACAAATCCCCTTCTTCTTTCAGGGCCTTCTTGAATCGCATATTGTATTGGATGATTTACTAATCCACCAACTGCTCCCAACAAACTAATTCCAAATTCACTTAGACCTTGTATGATTCCCTGTGATAAATTCTGTGGTCGTAAACGTCTAATCTCTTCAATTTGTTCCAAATCTTCAGCTTCTAATGTTAATCGGTTGAATGTTCTAGACCAACTAGATGCAAATTTTGTTACTGATGATAATGCACCTGTTGTAACATGCTTGACTAATGATGCAGATCCACTTAAGACACCGACAAAAAATTCTTTTGGTCCTTCAGTCATGCCCTGAGCAGATAATGTCACAAAATCATACAATCCAGTTCCGACAGATCGTGCTAGACCGCCAGGAGAGCCCCAGAATTCTAATGAACCCAATGCCCATCCAGTACCGTATATTGCATTTAAAAAATAATGCAATGACAAACTTCTACCAAGTTGATAATAAGAAGCAATTAAATCTGTTTTTGAAAATTCTGTAAAATCTAAAGGAGACCGGTCGAGAGCCACATAGAACGTTGTTGATGTATGTAAGCTTATCATTACTTTAAAAGGTTTAATAGTAAATGTTCTAAAAACTAAAGGATTACGAAATTCTTGGGAATGTGCTAGTACTAAGTAATGAAGTGGAATGAATTCATCCATGACAAGATTATGTTCTACTGTAGAAGACATTGTTGATTTAAAACTTTTCAATATTTCCAACATATAATAACAGTAGCGATCTTCTATAAATGCTTCAAAAGTAAATAATGTTATTTCTAGATCCAAAATCACTAAAACAAACATTAAAAAAAGGTTATAAATTAGTATTTAGAATGTATTTTGGTTATTTATTATACATAACAAGCAATCATATTATATAATGTATATACTATGATTTATAAATACCTGGTGTTGAATAGTAGGACTTATCTAATGTCAATTTTATAATAATAGCAGAATCTAATTGTCTCAAATCATTGATTACATTTGACAGTGGTTTCAAAAAACTTGTATCACAATAAACTTCTTCAAAATTTCTCTTTTGCTTTACAAGTATCACAGGAAAATCATAATGCCCATCAATAAATGCGTTATTATCAATTTGAATGTTATTTATTGACATTACAAGATTCATTTCTCCTTCTTTTGAAGAATCCTAAAATATGTTCAACTTCTATTATCATACCATAACAATGTATGTAGTTTTATATATTTGAGTTTTTTTTTAAGGAGGATGATATAATTAAAATATAGTTCAGATTATATATGAAAATAATCGGATAATCATATTCAGGTATATGTATGGACAAATAACATTAATGTTATTAATATTTTTCCCTTAATTACAAAATAATTTATATAAATCATGTCTTATCCACCTGAAGGCCTCCCTCGTCTCCTCTAAATAAACCTAACCTATACATTTTAGTTAATCTTAATTATTATTTATACTAGAATAGTGTGTCAACAAAGGGGGGGGGGGAGAGCTATGTTTACCGTTTTCCATAAAAATAACACAGACAAATGAGAAAACATAGTTAATTAAGTAATTATTATGTAGTAATGTAAATTATTAATTAATAATTTATTCAAAAAGTATTTACTGGATTTCCATCTAAAGTTGCTGCAATATTATCTAAAGTCATTGAAGCTACTGCTTTTGAATTGAATCCAATGTCATCAATAAATAAAATTAGTATAAATGTATGAATATGGCATTTTATCGAAGGCCAAAGCTCTGAAAAAATTATAATAATATGCTTGATTAAGTTTCATCTTAATATATGATTAAAATAAAATGTATATAATATTATATTTTATGATAAAAATCAATAATTACTATTGACTGATGAAGAACATATATTTTGTAAGGCACTTGTAGGAGTCCGAACATTTTCTAGTCTTACATTATTCAGTACTTCATTATTTGATGATAAGGTACCTAGAATAATCAAAGAATGTCACAATTGAAGTATAATCTAATATAATTTTTTTACCTTTGAATTGGTCACTTTTAGCTAGTCTTAATCTCACTTCATTAGCTGAAAATTCAAACTGTGCAGCTGGTTTGAAAATTACATCTAATGTAAATGCTCTTTTTGTAATCAAAACTTTTATGTCATTCATTTGTCCAGGGACTGGCACTAATCTGCTTTCACAAACACTCAATTCTATACTTGCAAACCAACCTGATAAGCGTATTAAGTATATAATCATTGTTATTTTTTCACCTCATTCAAAGCATTAAAATAATAACTTACCTTTAAAAGGCTTTTTGTCTACTCCAATTAATACTCTGGGTATCTGTTTGCATGATACTGAGTATGGAAATGATATGTATGCATTTTTTCCAGAAGATATCCTGTATGTCCAGTTCCAATCATTTGAAAATGGCATTGGCTCTTTAGATTTGGATTTAGATTTAGATTTCTTACTAAGGGCAAGAGTTAATGATACTGGACAATAATTGTAAAGAATAAATTGTGGATATGGTTGATTATATATTGTGAAAAAATATTGATTATCCAATTCTTGTAATGTGACACAAATTAATGGATTAGAATCACAGCTTGAAAATAGAACAGGCAATGGACGTTCCTCTTTCACAATGTCAGTTAGTTTGATAGGACAACTAATGTTACCATTTGAAGTTAGTATTAAATATTGCTCCAAATCTTCGTTGGCTGATTCTTTGCCAATTAATGTCCACATTACTAATGGTTTACCACTAAAACGAATAAATGTATGTATTAATTGAAATTACTTGATTATTATGGGTAATATATTTTATATAATTGTATAAAAAAAAACTGACTGTGAGTTTTACTGTTGAATATACTTATAATTATACTTAGGCTAACTGTCAGATAATTTGTAATAAAGAGGAACTAACATGGGCATTTGTTATCTTTATCTTACGGTCTGCAGATGAGGTTTAGCTTTGGTAGCGTATAATGAAAATACAATTTTAATGCATCTCCTATTATACAACTTGATGATAAGAACATAATCTGTGTTTTATGTAGGTTTTTCACTATAATTCAGTTATTAAATGAGCTATGAGCATTTTTAATTTAAGCTATATTACATACGCAAAACTTGCTAAAAAATTTAACTATCGTACATACTTACGTACATACAAACAAATAATGTTCTTACCATTAACATAATAGGTCAATTCATTCTAATTTTTAAACTAACAAAGCTAAACATGATCTGCTGAGTGTATATTAGCTATGTTAAATACTTGAAAGATGGAGACAACAAAAGTCTGTGTTATGTCCTCTTAAAGAACCTATACACAGCAGAGTCAGAGGTTGAGGCAAAATTACGACTGACACAATTTTACCGCCACCGCTACAGTGTGTAGCGACCTCAATACAAATAAATCCCTGAACAATATAGTATATATAAAAACAAAAATATTGTATTTGTAGCAAACTTACAAAGTTATTAGTATTTAATAAAAAATGTATAAACTTACAGATCATTTAAATTTTTAGGTAAATCAACTGAAATCTCTTCAGCATTTTCTGGAATATCTAAGACACCAGAAGATGGTATTGCACAAACTGCTAATACTTTTAGATCAATTGAGCTATGATTTGTAGCAACGTATAAACTTTGAATATGGATAACTCTCATATTATTATGTTCCAAAGAGCAAACGTTTAAATAACCAATCTAATTTAAATGTGCATGAGTTATACTTTTTGGTTATATAAATAATTATGTTATAAAACTTACATGGTTTTCACAGTTTATTACAACTGATGTATGACCCTTTAAAGGAATTAATCCATTGACTGATGGCATATAGAATGACTGACTATTAGATAGTTGAAGGGGTTGTGATCGATGAGTGGTATCTTCAATATTTAGATCAATATAAAATGTATTCTAAAAATAAAACAGATTTCAAATTAATTTATTATTAATACCAATTTCACAAAAATGTGCAAAATGTGAACACTGTTTCTTAAGTAAATTAGAAATATAAATATAACTTATTTTAATACATTAATAAATACATAGGTGAGATTATCAAATAAAAGATATAATCTTTTTATGAAATTTTTTATAATATAAAATTGTATGCATAATAATACAATATATTAAAATCTATAAAGATGATAATTTCTTATAAAAATCTTACTTCAATAACTGGAGGTGCCACAACACAAAAATTATCTATGTTACAAAGGACATCAGTTGCATTGCACAATGTTATGATTTGACTTGATGTATTAACTATTAATGCCCAAGGTTGTACAACAATTACACGACTTAAACCATTACTGTGATCAAGATGTCCATAATGTTGAACCTACATTTTAGTAGATTTAAAGTTAGTTGAATTGTTATTTTCCATTTAGTTAAGATGAAAATGTATGTTCAAACACATTATATTTTAATTGATAGTCAACAAGTTATTACTTATTATCTGATTACATATAATATAAATATTACTTTAACGGTAGTTTCAGTGTCTGGCAATTCACATTGTTTCCATTTGATGCTTGAATATTGTTGACCAACAAAAGGCCATTGAAGATCAGAATCCATTATAGTATATTTTCCATTAAGGAGATCTTCAATTGTAAAATAACTATCATTAAATAACTCAGGAATGTCAATATTCATATAATATGTTATAGATACTGGCGGAGAGGATGCCGAAGACTCCTCGCTAAAAATATTACAATTGTTTTTGTTGGTATACAGAACATTTGTTATTTTTATGTAAATTAATTATAGAAAATATAATTATAATAATTATAATAAAAAAATTGACTAACTTTAATTTAATAGTTAAATTGTAGACATCTTTCATAGTACCAGGCAAATCAATATGTTGTATATCATTTAAGGCCATGGCAGATTTAGCTTCTATAATGGTATTACGTTCTAATTTATTATCAACTAATTCAAAGTTTAATAAAGTTCTATAAGGCAAGTATGAACGAACAACATACATTGGCATTAATAAAATCTATAAATGTTAAAATGTAATAATTAATTAATTAATAACGTGAAATAAATATTTATTATTTTATTACTTACCAACATACGAGGTATTTTATTAATGTTTTCAATGATTAAACGACACCAAATACTACGATATTTCTTAATATTATCTTTCATAGGAACTGTTAAAAATTATTATTTTAATTAATTAATTCATCATGTTTTTTTAAGCAAATACTATTACTTTTGACTAGCCAAGAGTTTTGATTCCCATTAGTCAATTCAACAGCATGTAGTGGAATAGGTCCAGACCAAGGACCTTCATGATTAGGAGTATGAAAACTTAATTTTAAAGTAACTTTAAGTCCATTATATAACATTATTGATGGTGAATTATTTTCAGGGGAAACTGATAAAGTCTGCAAAACTAAGTTATTGAGATCCTTTTGTTCTTCTACTTGTTTGATTTTGGTAAATCGAGCATCCAACAAATAATTTGTTTTATTTAAAACGCTTAATTGGCTGGATACAATAACCTAATATAACACAAAATTATAAAAAAAAAATATTTGAAGCGAAACTATAACATACTTTTATAAGAGAGGGTGACATATTTGTAATTGACACTATTAAAATATGAGATACTCCTTTATGGTTTTTTACAGCTAAAGACATCAAAGCTTCAGTCCGTAAACTTATTTCATTACTCCAAGACAAACTAAATATTTATAAATTATTAGTAAAAGTGTAAAACATAATCCCATTTGACTTTATATAAGTATTACTTATCGGCATCTCCAACACTAAATCGTAGATGAGGATGTTCAGTAGGCACTCGCCATGTGTATTGGTAAGATTGTAAACTATTGAGAATGATAACTTCATTGGTACTTGCTTGGCCAAATCTACAAAAATAAATTAATGTAGTTATTAGTTCAAAGTTAAAATAATTTGATCTTTAATTGTATGAATTTAATAAAACTATTTAACTACTATTAGTACATAGTAACACTTTTCCAGAACCTAAAATCCAGCCAACAAAATAAAAATTAGTAACTCACATTATTTCAAAATTGGTATCGTTACAAATAATATATGGTGTGGTAATAAAATAAGTATTATTTTTCCATAGCTGCACTGCTGCCATCAAAGAGTTAATCATACTTGGACCAAATTGACATGCAATTGCTCCAGTTTGAATGTTGTATTGAATATCCGGTTCTATTTTTATTAAAATAATATAAACATTGTAAAATACAGGTTGAGAACATTGTTTTTAATAATTTATAAAATACTTACTTGGCTTAGTTGTGTGATGACTTGTAAATAAACAAAATGATTTTACAATAGGAATTTGTGTTAATGTTCCATAATTTAATAGTTCAAGTCTCAAATGTGCTTGAGCTGATGTATTCATTTCTCCTAATGGAAATAAAAATATATTCTTTGGTTAAACAATAAATAGTATATAAACAGTAAATAAAATGCTACTTTCCTCCGAAACATACCCAACAGCCAACGGGTAACATATATTACTGGGCTCTGTCAGACCGCAAACTGACATAACGTTTCTTAATATATTTATACCGGTTTTTATTTATTTACCTGCCCTTCTAAGTTGTAGCAGATATAAACTTTATGAAGTCTGTCCTTAAATTGAGTTACTCTACTCAATAATACCCTAGTCATATTTATCTCAGCCTCTTACTATTTTTATAGTTCTTCTCTACACCATTTTACATATCTTGTCAGTAAGGACCCCAGCTTTAACTTCTGAGCAATTTTAAATAACTATGCCAAACTGCACAAAATATTTTATTATTTTTATGAGATTTACTTGTATTTCATTGTAAAAAAAAGGAAAAAATCTCGTTTAATATGTTAAATTAAAATAAATTAAATTAAATAAAAATCAATGTTTGCGGAATTCTTATTTTTCCCATTATTAAAAAATATTTTGGTATAAATGATACAAAATATAAATATACATATCAGTCCTGCTGGTTTACTAGTTAGTTCTGATAAATGAATAAATACAATATTGCATGATATTGCACTACTGACTACTATATAACAATAGTTGAACTAAAATTAAAATAATTTAATAAATACCTTCTTGAAGTTTAAAGCCAATATTTACTTGATCCAAAATAAAAATGACTAGTTTATGTTTTGGGGGATCATCAGAAATGCAATGGTATCGTGATAAATATGTTTTTTTTTTAATATGATATGCAATATTAATCTATAAAATAAATTTAAGTAGATATTAAGATAGTACATTTTTAAATTTATTTTATGGATATTACTTACTTTAATTGATGAGGCTGACAATGATAGTTGTAATTGTGGTACTAGGCTTGGTGAAAAATATGAGTCAACTCTAAGGCATCCAACTAAACTCCTACAAATAAATTATTATAGTGCATATTACACAATAAACAAGTGATTTATAGTACTTTATCTGTAGTGGATAATGATTTGCACATGAATTATCCATAATAATACGCCATGTGTTTGAAACAGCTTCCAGTGATTCCAGTCGCAATAGCATCGGTTCATATTTTGGAAATATGAAAATAGTATGGTCTCTAAAACAGTTTTGTATCTCATCATACCATTGTAAATGAAATTTAACGTCTATGTCCACCTTGAAAATATTACAAGTTAGAGTTTTTTTTTTTTATACGACAATGAACACAGTATAATATATTCTAAAACTCAACATACATCCATAGGAACTGGTTGTATTTCAATTTTTGTTAATGTTCTAGGTTGAGGGTATCGCCATGTAATTTTAGGTGGATTATTCAATAAATGTTCCGAAAAAAATATCTGATAGGGCAAAGGTAAGTCAGAATTAGTAGTTTCGATAAATTGAAAAGCTCCAGCTCTAAGATCATCTTGATAAAATTGTTCATCAGATTCAGAACCTTAAAAAAATATTATTATTAGTATTACATATTGAATTTTTCTTAGAGACTGAATGGAGGTTTGTTTTAAGTTGTTACTGCTTGAATAAAATATTTCATAAAAAAGCCAATTTTAAAAATACATACAGTTGTAAAATCAATTTATCCCCCGATCCACTCAATATCTAAAAATAATAAATTATTTTAAACAATCAATTTAAAAAATAAACATACTTTGATTTTGTTTTTTAGTAGTATTTTTATTATATTCAAATAGATATTTATATTCATTCCACATTAATTTTAATGTATTGTAATGATCTGGAGATATGTGGAACGATATATAATCTGTTAATATTTTTAGTTGCTTTGTTGGTCTTAAGTATTCAGGTACCCAAGGATCAGATGATAAAATAATTTCTAATGTCATTGTCCATGGATGTAATATCAATTCATTTGTATTATTATTTGAGTAATCGTGTCCAACAGATATTGTCACACTATTTAATGTTATTTCGCCATTCATCCTTTCAGATGGTTTTCGCCACAGACAGTTTAATTTATAAAGAATACTTTCAATGCTGAGTACAATATTATCTGAAATGTACAAATTATTTTAAATTATATAACGAAAAAAAACACTTAAATTTTTTAACAGCATACTATTATTTTCAGTAGATAATTGAAAAAATATTTGTTGAGTAGTTAAATTCATAACTATTGGTTTTGAGTACCAACAATATTCGTTAACTGATGACACTGGATAGTCAACAACATTTTCATTAGTTATTTCACTGATTACACTCGTATTAGCAGTTGAATCAAGAACTGGATTGTCATATTTACGAGGATCAAATTCATCAGTCACATATTGAGATACAACAGAATCAATTTTAAAAGACGGACTTAGAATTTCAAGTTTATCAAATCTAGAAAACATACAATTATTAATGATTATAAGAAAAAAATAAATTATTCTTAGTAATATATTATACATTTTTATTAGTATAATTAAACTTTATTCAAAATATGTAAAATATTTTAAATAAAATAATCAACTAAATAGAAATATTTTTTTTTTCAAATCAAGAACTTATCGCTATATTATTTACATTTACACTAGCCTATTTAATTTGTATTCAAAGGATATCAAACATGTTGACTCTCTCTTACTAACACATAACATACAACATTTTTGTTCAGAATAATCCATTTTAATCTGTTATTTTAAATTCAGTATGGATTGATATATTATTAAATTTAAAGGTAAGTGGGTAAGAGAAAATAATAATATAACTAGAATGTTTTTATGTTTTAATTTTGAACCAACTTAAAAGTATTTTATCATTTTTTCTATAATAGTGTTATCTATAATTCACTCTAATATTAAAAATAACAAAGGTAAATGGATTATTCTGAAGACAGATATAACATTTTCTTTGTAATACAAACAAAGCATAAAAGTTCTTAAATTGTATGACTCAATATAATCATCAACTTACTTTGAATCTGTTTGAAAATTATAATTGTTAGTCTCTTCATGAGGCAAAATACCTTCATGTAACATTTTTTTCACAAGGTCTAATAAATTAGAACAGTGATCAATCTTTTGTTTGTTTAGTAATAAAGAAATAGCTCTTCCTAAATTTAGTTCAACCTATGAAAATACAAGTATTTATTAAGTATAAATATATAAATTAATAAAAGGAATATTATTCACATACTTTATATTGGCTAACTGTAATAGGACGAGACATTTTTAATGTGAAAAATGCTAAAGGAATTTCATCCATTGTATTGGATTTAGTTTTAAACAGCGGAACTGAATACATTTTAGGATCTGGTATTTCGATGCATGATTCATTTTTTGGAGCTAATGAAATTGTCAGATCAAAAAAAATTACCTAAAATAAAATATTAATATAAGTATATTTAAAACTATTATAGGTTATAAAATAAGATATTTTTCATACTTGACAAGAATCGGAAGTACTAGATAGTGAAAAAAATACATGAGGTTGATGAACCACAGCAAAGAGCAAAGGTTCAGATACTTTGATATCATTTTTTTTTATGCAATTAAAAATATTTAAATTGATTTGATTTCCTGTGATGATAATATCAATTGGAACTTTATTTACAATATTAGTATCCCTAAAATATAAAGTCAATTAATTATATTCTGTGAAGAGTAGTGTACATTTAGAATCTATTTGAATAATATACGTTTATAATAATGTAATACAACGGTTTTAACAGTATATCCATTAAGTTAAACATGTCCATAAGTATCACTTTGAAAGATACAAATTTTATTTATCTATTTTATAAATAACTAGCTGCCCGATCTTCCTCCAGGAGAAATTATTTTTTTATAATTTAATTTAAAAACATAAGACTATTTTTTGGCTATACAAATAATTATAAAATAAAAAAAAAAGAAACAGACATCATTATTGGCGCATATATGAAAATAATTGGTAATTAGTTAATTATTATTATTATTATTATTATAATGAGGGTTTAAAACCGGTTTCCTTCGTCTCCAAAATCAAGTTAGATTTTTATATATATAGAAGATAAAATATCAATGTAATAGCATACGTTTAAAAAACAAATTAAAATTTTTAGTGTGAACGGATTCAGTTGTTTAGTATTGTGAGTTAAAATTTCTATCAAACAGCTAAAAAAGTATCCCATTTTTTTTATCATAGTGCACGAATAAACTCTTAATACACTTTAAAATTAGTTTATTTTTTTGAAAATTGATATTTTGTATCATACAAACATCAAATAAATATTATTCCAGCAAATATGACAATAGTTAATTTTTTTCTTAAATATATAAAACTTTACTTGACCTAACTTTATCGATTTTTACAAAATGTTAATAATTTTTTCGAAAATTTTTTAAAAAATAAATATTAAATGGATATTTTGAAAATTCCCTAAGATTGAATTATATAGGAAATATTTTTTTAGCTTATGCTATTAAATTATAATTTTCTTATAACTTTTGACAAACTGTAAATTAATTTTAAAAGGAAAACTTACTTCTTTATGAAAATTGCAATATTTGATTGATTGTTTATTTTATTTTCAATTAATGAACCATTTTCTTGATAGAAACATGTACTATTATCTTCAGTCGAATGAATACCACTATCCTGAGTTAAGGACTCTGTTATGAATTTTGATTGTACTTTTTCACCTTGTACAATAACATGAGTATAATTTGTTTTTAAATGGCTTAATATATATTCATTGCTTTGAGAAGCTAATATATTAAATAAGTTAAGTTGTTCTACTGATAATGTGATTGAGATTTCATTTAAGGTATTCACCTGAAAAAAATAAATAAATAACAGTAAAAAGAAATTATATTATTGAAAGTTTATATTTAAAATACTAACTTCCATCCAACTTCCACATACTAATGTGTTTTCTGGTTCAAATATGATTGCAGGTGCATATACTGAGTGAAAAGATACTTTACTAAACAAAGTTGATGTATTAATCTCATCCAAATTTGAATTCCCCATAGCCCTAGGTCTTTTTCCTTCATTCCACAACAAAGCAGCATTTGGTTGATGATCAGTATCCAAAGTGGATAAAACTTGATAACATTCCAAAACTTGTTTGAGATCATTCCAAAATCCGGTTTTTATTGAAAATCCATTTATAACAATTTGATATTGACGATCTTCAACTATTGACCCTGGAATAGTTAATAACCCTCTTTTTTCAGCTTCAACATATAGATCTTTTCTGAGTGGTGTTCGCGTAATTGGATTCTCAGGATTTTGATTTATTTTTATTGAATTAACCTAAAGTATGTGAATTAATTATATCCAACACCAAATTTTATTTTATTTAAGTGTGTATTACTTGAATTATAGCAGTATCTTGATGTTGGTTTTTTTTATTTTGTAGAGAAATTGGAATGAAAATTCTTAATAATGCAATATCCAAATAAAATAATGGTAAAGTTAAACCTATGAATTCATTACTTGGTTCTAACTTATTATGGGAGTTTGATAAAGGGTTAAGTATATATTTTGAATTTATAAGTATATCTAAAAGAGGATCAATTATAGATAAGAATTGGTGAAGGTTTAAAGGGGATATAACAATATCGATTGGTTGCACTTTGATTACAATTTCCATAATATATTCATCCATTAGTTGTTGGTTCAACTTAAGCATTTCGTCACTGACCTAATGTAAAAAAAAAATATAATAATGTAGTAACTAAAATTATAAACTCTTGATTTAATGAGATTTATTCAAACAAAGTTTGATTTCCAATTCATTGGGAACTCATCAATTTACAAATAACTTTTTTATGCATACTTAAGCAAACCAATAAGTATTTTTAATAGAAAGATTAAATTTTATCATTAATAGTAGATAATTTTTTCTGTGATGAAGAAATTTGAGATATTCTAGTATATGTATATTATGAACTGTATAACTAAAAAATAAGAATATATTACCATATGTAAGGGTGTAATATCCTTGTTTGACTTGGGTCCTTGGAAAGAACTTTTAATAGCTCGAGTTAATGTAAAATTTAAAAAACCATCAGTTTTTGATGATTTTTCTGAGCTGTTTAATGGATCATAACCTTTAAGTATAAGCCCTAAATATGGTCCATGTTTCCATTGTTCTTCCTTCGTGTTTCTAGGATTAAATAGTTGAAAAACAATTGACTAGATTATGTATTATTCCAAATAAAAAATAGAATATTTATTTATTAATTACTTTGTGAAGTGCTGAATAGAAGCAGATGATATTTTTAATTTTAATTTTTGGTATGAAAGCCCAAAGTCTAAAGAACTTATAACGTCTTCTAAATCTAATACCAACTTAACATTTTCTGATGAACTGTGTTTTGGATTATTTTTTATGATCAATGAAAACCTAGCCAGAGTCCATTGAAACCAACCAGATAATTTTAAAGTTTCTTCTGTTTTTTTAAAATCTTAAATTACAAATTACATGAATTATAAATTTGAAAAATGTATTGTTTTTATAAGTGGTATATTCAGGGAAAAGGGGTTAGGGAGTATTCAATGCCTGGAAAATGTATTATTTTTCTATATTTGATAAGTTCAAGCATAAAGGAATAAAAAATTAAAATATTGATGGTAAAATTATTTTTTTTATTATTGTAGAATATTAGATAAAGTTAAGGTATGTTATAAAAATTGAATATAGTAGATATACCTAGCACCTACACCAATACTTTCAGACTTTATTATTTTTGGTTATATTATCTTGCGTAAAACTTACATACATAGGTTCAAAAATAAACTTAATATTTTAATGTATTTCTAATGCCAGTAATCTTTAATTTAATTTTTACCATTTTTTAGGGTCTCATAAAATTGTTCCTTATGACTTCACTATAAAAAATAATTCCTAAATATACCACTATATTACTATTACAGATTTTACCAAATTGAAGTGTTTTGGATTCTACAGGTTCATCTTCAGGAATAGATGACATCTCATGGGCTACTGATCGGTTAAAAAATGTTCCATATTCAATGTTTGCAAATATAACTTTGTAAACTTCCATTTGTTTTTTCAATAAATTAGCAACGAGGAGTACCTAAAATTAAAAAAAAATGTTAATATTATTTATACATATTTATAAACAAAATTACTTATTTATAAAATATGTAATATATATTATATATTTTTGTTTTAGTATTTTTTATTCATAACACTTACTTGTTGTTCTGATATGCAAATAGAAATTGGATCAGAATCACAATGTATGCAAGCAGCCAAGCTTTTCAATGTTTGGATATTATTGTTATGAAATTGAGTTGTAATAGCTAATGTACATTGAGCACTAAATGGATAAAGAAGTTGTATTTTATGGGTATATGATCTTTGATATGTGCTATCATAAGTACTATGAATTGTATAGCATTCCAATTTACAAAAATTAAGTTGCCATGGAAAATATACACCATCTAGAAAAATGTTTAGTTAAAAATTATAATACTTAATAATTTTGTTATAACAACATTCAAGTACAAGGACTTTTGAAATTAATATTCTTTACATTAACAGTTTTGGATAATCCATCTCAAAAATGAACTAAAATTTGAAAATCTTACCAGGAGACCATAAAGTGTAAGGAAAGCGCACTGGAGTTGTATTTAAATACTGTTCCATTTGATTTTGTGGTACAACACATTTTAAGGAAATGTTAGATATTCTTAATACAAGTAATCCATCTTCGTTAATACTTGACAACTCAATTAATTCCTTCAGATCCAAATTTTTACAGCTTTGAGATTTTTTTAACATTGACAATGATTTGCTAGGGAAATATAATGCAATTCTTGATGTATCAACAAAAACCATTGATGATTTCCATTTGTTGAATAAACGTACAATTTTATTTTCTTTAGTCTAGAAATGGATAAACCACAAAAAAGTCATGGAAAATTTTAAATTTTAAAATATGGAAGTTACATTGATTATTCATTCTTAATAAAACGTATATTGTTTTCATAAAATAAGTTCCTAAATATTAATAACAATGATATCATGTAATTAGTATAAATGTTAACTAATAAATTACTTCATTTTTTAAATGCATATAATTAGCTGAATGAAATGAAATATTATCTGAAACACTACTATGGATAGATGGTTTAGGATACTTTTTTTTTGGATCACTGCTAATGCTAGTTTCTGAAATTTTTCTACTGGGAGCGCTGTAAAAATAAAAAATAAAAATATTAAAAAAAAATACTGTACGATAACTCTTTAAATGGAAATATTACCTGAAAAATGCTAAATCAGATGTCGAAGTTTTCTTCTTTATTTCTTTTTGCTTATTTACTTTGGGTACATAAACTAACCATTCAAATAACATTGGGTCTAAATTCATATCTAACTGTCCGATTTTTAAATATATTAAAGGTGTTTCATTAACATCTACTTCGGATGGAAATTGAATAATTACTGGAATACACAAAAATAATTTTTAGAAAATAATCGTCAATTTCAGACTCTGAGCAAAGTGATAATATATTCATATTGATTTTACAAAAAAAATTATTTTTTTGTCTGTATACACAGAAATTAGTAAAATATGTGCTTTGATTACCCACTTTGAGGGTCGTTTAAAAATTCTAGAGTAATTGATACTTTTGAAAGGTGTAAATAGAAAATTCATAGATTTTCTTATGCAATGATTTATTATAATTGAATTCAAATTTAACACATCTATTATAGTGACTGTTTTAATGCTGAAGTACACTTAACTCCTGCCGAATAACATAGTAGTTACCAACATTCCCCCCTTCTTTAACTGAATATTATAAAAATAATGATTAGAAGAGCTATGCATAATACAAATAATTAAGTACTACACACCTTAGTATTAAGACATGGCAATAAGACTTACATATTTTTTGTAAACTATTTTAAAAATATATCAAATATCAAAGTTTAAAAACACATTTGAATCATCCAATAGGATGAATATATAATCATGTTCAAGCCTTCAAGGTTAATCTTGGTGGTTATTTAATTTAATTATTTACTTGTGTAATTTTTTTAAAACATTTACTTACCATGGAGAAATGGTACAGAGTGTTTAATAAATTCTGGAGTTGAGAATATAATAGCACTTGTATTATTATCATTTATTGAACTGTTTGTTGCCATTTTAGCATTGATGTTATTGAGTATAATTTTAGTACAAGTTACTTGGTTTTCTGATTTATAGTATACTTTAACTCCTTCAAAGTTGAATTTCAATACAACTGTACCTATGTATAATGATAAATAATATCATCACAATATTAAAAGTCAATACTATTGAAATAAGCTTATATATTTTTATTTTTATAAAATACTAAAATGTTCATAAGTAAATTATACATTATACTATACAATCTAATCTCAATAACTTGGATCTCGATGGGAATAAAAACAAATTTGACTGATGTATTTATCAAGTTAACGAGACTCAGCTGTATAATAAACTCCATAATATGATAAATACAGATGGTTATTTTATCAATAAATACTCATCATTTCAAAATCTTTTAATATTTTTGAGAATATATTTGTTATTTTTTTTTTATTGTTATCATTGTTGAAGTTTTTATTATAGCAAGAAATTAAAAGTTTGTACTGTAATTCAAAAAAATAAAAACCTTAATGATAACAAAAAAAATATTTTCAAAAACGTTAACAGTTTTTTAAACGTTATTGATTGAAGAATCATCCAATATCATTTAACTAATAATATAAAATTAAAAAAATTAGTTCATATAAAGTTAGAAGTTATGTTTCATACAGTACATTTTTATATTTAAGAAATAACTAAATGTATGAATTACCTGGAGTATCATCTAATAAAGATGATTTAAAAATAAAATTATTAACTTGCAAAAGTCGTCGATGATTTGACATAATTATTGAATGAATTATGTAATACATCAATAAGCAGTTTTCTTTTGATGTGGAAAAACTAATCATATCTAAAAGTACATAATTATAATGTTTAGGTAAACATTTAGAAATACATAATTATTATATAATAATTTACCTATGTCTAATATGCAATCTGAATTTGAATCAATGTCAATTGTAGTATTAAATCCTATATTATTAATTACTAACAATTTCTGTATTGATTCAGAAAGGACAAGATTTGCTATCAAATCTTTTACCTTGAATTTCCATAAATAATAATAAAAACAGTATAATTAATGATTTAATCAATCCTCATATCTAAGACATTAAATAGTCATAAATAACAAACAATTATTAAAAATACTAACTCTAAAAATAGTCCTGGTTTTCAATTGTGCTTTTTTTTCTTCAGAAATATTTTGAACAATAACTCGTGGTAATATTGCCCATTTAAATTTTTTTTTAGGTGTAACAATTCGACCATCAAGAACTTTCAATTCAAAAATAGCAACTGGTGGATTTTCAAATACAGGATCAATATGTTTTGAACAAATTTTTTGATTTTTCTGTCAATGTATTAAACATATTAAAAAAGTTTCATTTTATTTGAATGACATCTTACCTTGTGTTTCTGAGTTGAAGTTGAAATTCGTACATGACAAGCAGGAAATACTTTAATCGTAGGGTTAAAAATTGTGAACTGATATACCATTACTTGGACATAGGAATTAATCAATGCATTAAACTTTTCATCAGTATCTAAAAAAAAAAATTACTAATATATATATAGAATATAAATAAATAAATAAAATATATAAATATAAATATTACCCAAACGTGGAGGTTGTAGAGGAGCGGTAAATACTAATAAATCATGACCAAGAATAAGTTTATATATGAATTCAGCTCGATGAACAAGGCCTGATGATATATTCAAAGTACTTGGTCCCGCAACAAATCGTAATAAGCATTTTTCTTCCGATCTTTATTGAATATAAATATTAATTAAAAAGTAGAATTATGTCTATTATTTTGAATTAATAAATATATTATAAGTTAGGGTTAACAAATTGTAATAATACTAAGTCTTAATAATGTATAAATAGCTACAATAAGTACTATTATTTAAATTGGAAATTAATTGAAGACTTAAATAATTAACATGAAACATAATAATTTTCTCAACAATTATTAGTTGACAAGTATATATTTATTTATACTCACACAAAATACACATTTTCGTTATCATCATTAAAATTATTCTGGTGTGTGTTAGGTATTTGAGTGAATAAATAATCAATTGCAAATGCAGTTGTCTTTTCTAAGAGAATTGTTTCTAGAAATAACACCAAGTATAAAAATATGTACATATAATTAAATTATAATAATAGTTGTTCCATCATAGCTTTAAGAATAAGGTCTATTTAAAAATGATTTTAATAAATACATATTAATATGAAATATTTTACATAATCTTTAGCATGTAATACAATGATTTTTGGCAATTTTCAACAAAACCTACTGAGCAATTTTAAAAACAACCAAAATAAAATAGTGAAAACTTTAATCCTCTGATCAATCCTTTACTTATTAGTTATTTCCATTCGTCTAAGTTATCTAGCACATTGTAAATTATTAATAAGAAGATTATGGATCTTATAACACTAAAAAGTACCAGAATATGCTCTAAATATGACATAAAAAATTTAAAAGTATCAAAAATAATTTATTTAAATAAATAATACGAAGAACTGACTGAAAAATCATGACAATTGATACTTAGACCTTAGACTAATAAAATTTTCAAATGAATATTCTAATCAGAAACAAATAAATACAATCAATGAGGTGGTTAACGATTGATAGGTCACATAAAAATAAACCATAATATGAAATATAATAGAAACAGAAATGCCAATATTTTTCTAAAACTAAATTTTCTTTACATAATAACTGTTTTCTACTATTTATGAAAAATACTAAATAAATCAACTTTAATGCATATTATCAAAAATAGCACTTAAAATTGAAAGTGCTTAAAATATGAAATATAAAATTGCGTATAGCTGGAATTATTGATGTACAAAACAAATGTATAGCTTACTCTGTCATTTATACCTTTATCCTATAATATTTATTAATTAGCAAATGGTATAGAATATTTTAATCCAAACTCTGCTAATATGTTATGATAAAAATTATATCTTACCACTAAATGTAGTCAAATGATCATCAAATGAAAATATATTATCATTAAAAGCATTAATGTTATTATCTTGAAATAATGACTTCGATAAATATGAATCTTGTATCACGCCTGATGAAAAATAATTATTCTAAGACAAAAAATTATGATATTTATATATTGTTTAAAAATATGATCAGCATTATCATGAGTATGGTTTAGTTTTTAAACTAACTGTATAACAATCTTGAGCACCACAAGTGCAATCTCCAATAGAATCTATGCTAGCTTTACTAATACCAAACTGCACATTTATCCAATCTGGTGGATTAGACACCATTTCAAGTAAAGTACCATTAAAAGCAATTTGTAATAATGGTCTATAATCATTTAATTTTTTATTTGATTTGATCTAAAAACATATGATACAATATAAATTTTAAATCAATAATACTTATTACAATTTCACAATTTTACCAATTGGTATTAACTATGGTCTAAATACTCTAACTCTCCCAGCACCAGAAAAAAAAATAGCTATAGTTAGAAAAATTAAATATAACTAATTTTTGATATTAAATTTGTAAATATTGATCTGGTCGCATTAAATAATATAAGTTAAATTGAGATTAAAAAAATCTTTGGAAATACCATCTAGATAAGATCTAAAATATTTTAGTAATTAATAAGAAACAACTTAAAATGATTAAAGTAAATTTTGTTTTAAACAAAAATTACCTGATGATGTATTTCAATAAGTACATAACTTTAAATAAGTACATGAAAAACAATTTAACTATAATTACTCACTTTGAGAACAAATAAAAGGGTATCAATGTATATTCCAGTATTTAATGTATGACCACCACTAATGGCTGTTTCTGGACTAAGAGAGAGGTCGTTAACTTCGCTAGTTAGACTAACACTTGGTACCCAATTCCACATCCAATCAACCCAACCATCATTATTGGTTATATTTGATTCTGAAACTAAATGTTAAAATTCAAAAGTACAATAAACCTTTGATTTAGGGTTTTGAGTTTTTCAAAACTTTAGTTTAGTAAATTTACTTTTATTTGATAATATATATATATATATATATATATATCTGATAAAATAAATGTTTTTAAATAAATAGAAGATATCAGGAAATATAGGAAACAATAAATGGAGTAGTCACATTCATAAAAGAGTAGACAGTAGATACTTTTGGAGTACGCAGATTACATAGTATTAATCAGTAATGTATGGGTAGGAAAGTTAGCAGGATAAAATATGTTATTTTTTATAATATTGATTGATTTACTTGAACTACAGCTGCTAGGACTTCTGTTATGAATTTCGTCATCAATACAGGTATTTGTTTCTGGAGTATCAGTCGGATTTAATTCTAATATCAAAGTTAACAATCTCAAAAACATTGGTAACTGAGGTTCAGTAAGAATAAATGCAATCTTTGAACAAAATATGTCCATTTGAGTTGTATAAGGTCGGGCAGAATGAGGAGATCGAAACATACGACATAATCGCATGGATAATGAACATTTATATAATAATGGTTCTAAGTAAGTTTCTATGCATCCTGAAGCATTTCTTCTATCCAAGCAAATAGTCACATCTGATAGATTAATAATTTTTCTTAATGTTAATTGAGATGGTGTTAACTCTGAAAAAAAGTCACATGAAATAATATACTTATAAACAGTTATATTACAGAAACTGTAATTATACTTGTCAATTGTTATACTTACCAATAATATCAGGTATCCAGTTTGAATTACATGAATCTAGAGTAATTGACTTTATATTCATAGACAGAACTATATCATCTTCAATATATTTTAGAATGACATTATTGCATGTTACAGAAAGATTTCCAACAATTTTGTTGATCAAACTCTGTACATATGATGGAGGTGGTAACTCATTATAATCGGTACTTGCTCTATCACTATAAAATAATCAACAATGAGTAATAATTAATTTGGTTTTACATACCTATAATACAGTAATTTATTGCTAAATTAAAAAACGTAACATTTAAAAATCAGACAATTCTTTATGATTTTCATAAAGTAAAATATTAATAAAATATAAAACTTAAATGTTTTACCACACATACCTCTATGTGCGGTACAGTAAAATAAAAGAGTTAAATTAGTAAAAGCATACACATTTGCCATATAGTATTAGATATTTTAAAATAATTAACATTTCCAATTCAGTATCAATCCATTATCATTTAAAATAATAAACCTATTAAATGTAGCTTAGTAAATGTAAATTTAAAATCTGGTCCTTTTAATCAAAATTAACTTTCCTATAAGTATTTATACCAAATATGTATACCTACCATTTGTCCTAATTTTATTAATTTGCTATAACAAATAACAATACCTACAAATGTTAAATCAACAATTACTACATAATAAAAAATAGACCAACTTGCCTTGTATCATTCTTCTTAGCTTTCCTCTGTTGAGGAGTCTTTAATTTTAAAACACATTCTAAAAAATTCATAACAATGTAGTTAAGTATATTAAAAATGTAACAATCAAATAACAAAACCCAATTGAAGCTATGTAGCTACAAACAAACATTTACCTATTGTGTCAATAGTGATTTTAACTGCTTCTGATCCTAGTTTTGTCCATGGAACTCTAATTAACAGTTGATTTATATGACCACTTATTACAATAAATGGTAAATTTAACTCTTTCTCCAAAACATCTAAGTCTAATTCCAAGTTTTGAAATAAACCTTCTCCGTCCCATAGTGATACCTAAAAATTATATTAATCATTAGACTAATCATTCTTAAAATATTCACAGTTATTATTAATATCAAGAGTCTATTATAAGTAATATTATATACTTGAGCATCTTGACGCCTTAAGTTTTTTACATATTTTTCAACATAACTTAGTATGATCGATGTAATATATGATTCGATTCTAAACATTGTATATATCCTATAGTGAGATATAGCCGGACTACTGACTAATCCAATTCAAAATTCATTTTCTACGTGTCTGTCAAGCATCTCTGAATAGTCTATTCGGTATTCAAATACAAAACAATAATATTATTCATTGAACAAATAAACTGATAGCTTATCAGTGATCACATCAATTGTTTTGATATTTTAAATTTTAAACCACCACTTTCGAGTCAATTGATAATTTTGTTCGTGTGTACGGTATGAGTATTGAGTATTATTTAAATGTATTAAACCTTTAAAAACCAAAAAAGCATGTTAACAAGCTTTCCGATGAAGAAATTAGAGTGTATCAGTACACTATAATATGATATGCTATTAAATAACATATCGGTTCAAGGAGTTAATTACGTAGAGATCATTCGGTCGAACAGAACACTGTCACACTGATAAAAATTTACATCCACACTCTGCAGTTCTGCCCACGACTTGAGATAATAATATAGTTAAAGTTGTGGACGTGTTCGGGCAGTTCGGCCCCCCGAGATAACAGACATCGTGATCAGTGTTAACGAAGTGTACAATATTCTATGGTATACGTACAACAACTACAGCTGCGAAATCTATGGCAAAACGTACCGGCCTGTATCATGGTACGCACAAAACAACTTTACCACAAAATACAGATATACGATAGACGTGTGACTGATTTAATGTAAATTATAACATTTATCAAGATTATGATTAGTGATTTAAATTATTATGATTTTTATTATTTAATATTTGGCTACGAAACCGGGACCGGACGTACTAGGATAAAGAGTATTACGGGCATGAAAACTAGTATTCGATTGAAATAATATTATGTCCATGGAATGACATGGATACCATCACTATTACAGACTTCAAGTAATCTGCATTACAACAATAATAGGTAAGAAATAAAACTTTATTGAATTCAATAATATTTAATTCGAATTATATAATAACCAACTCAAAATAATATCGCGAACGTGGTACAAAAAATATTCCTCCATAAGTTGTTGTACATTTTTGACCAATACCTATTTGATCCATATATTTATTAATAAATAATTATAATAATAATAGTTTTTTTGTAATTCAAAAATATTCTTGAAGACTTGAAACTTTTACATATATAACATTATTGTAATTAACTTTACATTATGATGTTTTAAATTTTGGTTTTTTAGGCCCTTTATAACTGGAGACTTATGTGCATTGTACACCTTGCATACCTAATATTTTTAGCACATGAAAACAACAATAATACAATTTTTAGAACACACTTAGAACTGTGTGAGGCCAATCTAACTTTTAAAGTTATACAATTTAAAAAAAACAGTCAATTTTTAGACTTGCAATTTTTATTACAGTTCTTGTACTACAAAGAATCCAAAAATGCAGCGCGAAGACAAACAATTGGAACTGGTGCTTGAAAATTTCCAAAGTAAGTTGAACGAGTTCAAAGCCCAAATATACGCTCTTATATTCAAGTTAGAACACGAACGAGACAATGTCAACTGGACCACAGTGCTTGATACCTTCGCAGTGTTTTCAACACAGTACACTGCCATCATGAAGTACCTCTCTTATGAGAAACTTCCTCAGTTGCGTAACTACAGTGTACTGCCACTGATGTTGAACCCCGAGCGCGATGAAGATCTTGCACGCATCACTGAGAATCGAGTGCCGGCTCTGTCCCACGACATCGTACCCGATTTCTTGCGTACCAAAACAGAACCTGAAGTCGAACACAAACTCATGCAGGTCATTGAAATGTATTATTTATATTCTCCCCTCATTATGTCAATTAATTGCAATTCTCAATTTGCTAATATTATAATATGTATAATCAATTTTGCAGGTTGAGCACAAGGCAGGTGGTTTACAATTTGAAACAGCACAAAAACAGCTGGCAGCATTTAACAAGGTAGTTAATCATGTACTGGATCTTGTTTCTAAAGCCAGGGAAGAATGGGAAGTGGAAACTGGAGCTCGTGTTGGTATTGGCCAAACCTCATCAGTTGCAGATTTGCATACACTAGTTTCCGCTGTAAGCATGGGTAAAAATTTAAAACCGATGGTGCCACAAGTATCTCCTGGTGGTATGATGGTGCCTCCGACCGGTAGACCAGTTACTCCTAGCATGGGGCCAAATACCCCACCAATGGGTATGATGCCCAAACCCCCTCCTGGAATGAAAACCAATGTAAAGGCTGCTGGAGCACCTCATCAATATAGATAAAGCAATTCCTTGAATGTTATGTCATGTGATATTCTTCTCAATGTTATATCAAACATTTTTTTTCATATCCATGTCAATAATCGTAACATTCTAATATTGTTTAACAAATGTAAATGTATATTTATGTACATATTAATATAGTTTAAAAATGTACAGTTGGTTTATTTATAAAAGTAAATAATAATAAAAATAATCATAATATAATGAATTAAGCTTTTTGTTTGCCTCTGTAACTGATGTTATAATAAATAATTGAATTAATTATATTTTAAATTAAAAATGTTTTTAAATGATCTAAAAAACTGGTATTGTGATGTATTTAAATAAAGAATGGGTCAGGTCCAGGTTCTTACACAATATGTCATATGAAAATCACTAAAATGTATAAGAAGAACGAACTTCATTGCATTTGAAGTTGACATTTTTACAAAATTGGATATTCACTTAATTTCTCAAATATCAATTTTCTTATTTTGTTGTAATTCAAAAACAAATAACAGCAAATACTTGAAATTTATACCATATATTTATTTCATCAATTCATATACGTGATACAATTTTCAAAATATTTTGACTCATTTTGAGCCATTCACAAACATTTTCAATTTTGTTTATTTTTTTTCTATTAAAATGTTCAACTTTTATAGCTAAGGGTTGAAAATTAAAAACAAAATAGGTTGTTCTGAAATCAAGAAATCTAAAAATATATTAACACAGTTTTTATATGTTCAAATGTGGAAGAAATTACATATTAAATAACCAAGAATAATTTATGTTGTTTTATTGAAAATTAAAAATCATTCTTGGGTACTTGAAACTTGGAACTTTTAAAGTATATTATTATATTTTCATCATCAAAATAAACTTTTCAACTTACAAAACAAAATTTTTTTGATACGAACATTGAAAAAAAAAACAGAAACATTTTGAAACAAATGGTAATTCAAGTATTAGGTGAACATTTCAATTCTATGATAGGTTATCATTATATAATTACAACAAAAATATTAATCTGAATTTGGTTCTCAATAAATTATTGAGGTTTCACCATAATTTTTTTTTTGTTTGTTCACTTAAAGAAATATATTATCAAATTTGTTGTAATTGAAAAAAGTAGGTAAATTAGTGAAAAATTGATAATGATTTTCTAAAATCTTAGAAGTAAAATTAATGCTTAATATTCTCTGTAAAAAAGAGATGGTTAAAAATAATATAAGATGGGTAGTGCAGGGCAGCATAGAATTTATAATATATTCATATATCTTCTACAGTCAGAACTCACAATAATATAAAATGGAGGTTAACATTTTATTGGAAAAATCAAGTGCATAAAAATAGTATAATATACTAATATTTAGAATTGATACGCTTTATTGATTATTAACTATAGATTGTAGCTTAAATTAATTTCTATGGATAATCAATGATATATTTTGTATACAATTATTAGTGTCTTTTGAGGAAAATTAAATTAAGTTATTACATCTATGGAAAGTAGAAGTATAGGTTGAATACTTGAATGCCTAACATAATAAGTTCAATGAATATTTGTAAATATTTTTAGGGCACTGAAGTCTCACTCAATTTTACTTTAATTTTTTTATTTAATTTTATAATACATATGAAAATATCCAGCAAAAAATATTCTACATTTTTGTACAATGAAATGACTTAACTTTAAAATAATTAAATGTAAAGAGACAATTAAATTCTTAAACATAAATAATAAATAATAATACATACATTTAAATGAAACATGTTTACATAATAATTTAGTTTTTTTTAAAGCTTTTCAATATTGGATAAATATTATCATAGGCATCATAAATTTCTTGACGTACTTTGGCACCTACAAACATAATATTATTAAAATTAAATAACACAAATAAATTAACATAATTTATTATTAAAAGTAATAACATTTTTCTAGTATCCATTTATGATTTAGTTAACCTAACCTTGTGCTCCTCACAACACAAAAATATATTTTCTTCAAATTATAATTAAATACTATATTATTGCAACCAGAACTATTAGAAGCGATTTGGTCAAATGCAATGAAAACAAATATTATTTAATGAGATATAAAAGTATTTTGAAAGGCTGGGTGACATAATTTAGCCATGCTAGATATAGCTGCTTATCTTATAGGTGTAGAAGTTGCTCACTTTACACAATGATTTACCCATCTAAAAATTATATTTTCAATGTTAGATTTGCATAGATGATATAAGTATCAGAATTTCAATAAAATGTTTAGTTGAGCAGTACCGTGTTGCAATGAGTGACTGTTGCAGTTACAGAGGAGTATGTAACAAAAATTACTATTACAAGTACTTCAAAATAACTAAAAACTTAAGGTCTTCAGACTAATTTTAGTCTCATCCACATCTTCAGTGCATAAAAACATATAACATTCATACAGCAAAAATTCAAAAATATACTTGAAAGGTAAACAAAGTGTAAATTATTGTGTGAAGATAGCAACTTTTAAACAAAAAGATATGCAGTTAATGCAAGCTCGACCCAGTGACCTCATGCATTTTTATTAAAATCCTCATCATTTTACTCTACCATTTTCTAAGAATTGAAAATTCTTTCAAATTCAAACAAAAGTATTTTTTTTTTTTGTGTTTTGTGGTCCTTAACATCAGTAACAATAATTCTTTATTAAAATAGTATAAAACTAGTTTCTAAGTTAATTGTTGCCAAGTTACCTGTCAGTACAACTTTTCCAGATACAAATATCAGCAACACAATTCGTGGTTTTACCATTCTATAAATTAGCCCAGGAAAGAGTTCTGGTTCATAACTAAAAAATAAACATTTTATCAGTCTTAAATATACTAAAATTATAAACCTTAACATAGCAGAATAAACTACCTGCTAAACTGGCCATGAGTGAGTACCAATCCCTCAAGGCGTATAGGAAACTTCACATCACAACTACCAACCATGTTTTGAATTTTAAAGTCTAAAAACTTGGCCTAATAAAAAAAATGATTTAATGCATACATAAATCAATAAAATATTATTTTATCGCCAGACTCACGGGAAAGCTGAGTTTTTGAATGATCCTAGCATATTTCCTTGCCGCCAGTCTGGAATCTTCTTCACTTTTAGCGCCAGTACACACCATTTTACCAGAACTAAAGATTAAAGCTGTAGTACGCGGTTCACGTATTCTCATTATTACAGCTGCAAATCGTTTTGGGTTAAATTCAGCATTACGGGCATGTAAAGCAATAGTTTTCAAGTCAAGCCGACATCCAAGATTTACCGTAGACACTATATTCCTTAAAATTAAAAAATAAGAACATACAATTATGTAAATAATGCACTTAAATAAAAAAAAACAAAGACTCACTGGAGTTGAGGTACAATACCAGGATCAGCAGAAGCTGGTGTCATAGGTGTCATCGGGGCAGGCGTTGCTGGGTTTTGAATAGTTTGTAGAGCTGGGACAGTCGAAGATGATGAACTGATGGATGTCAAAGATGGCATACTTTGATGTATCTAAATAGGAATCCTGGTATTAATGTCAGGTTAAAAAATAATACTAATGTTTAAATAAGTTGTTACAGGTGTTTGTGAATGCATCATGCTGTGTGGTGTGGCGTAACCCATGTTGTTTGTCTGATATATTTTATTCATTGACTGTTGTTGAGATGGCAGACTACTGGTACTCATGGCTAAACCTTGTGGCTGTAATGGTGGCATTTGCATAATCTGTTGATCTTCTTCTGGTTGATGTACTGGGGTTCCAATACTGGGAATACTGAACCCCGGGCTTGGTAACATTTGATCCATTTTAGAATTACGGCACCCTTTCTTTAGCTATTAATAATATTAGGTAATAATAAAAAATAACACATAACTACTACATTTAAACATTTTGAGATTCGGATACGACTACGACTGTTAAGCGTGTAACCGTAAGACTGGATAATAGGAGGAAATTACTACCGAGCACCGGATAACATAGTACGATGAATATAATCACAATAGTCACTACCATAGATAAGTATATACTACCATTGATTAAGTGGGGACAGAAAAACCGAACGGACTAACGCAGTAACGCGTCAGTTCTAACTTGTAAGTTGTAACGCGCACCGTAGCCGGTTCGAATCTTTTGGCCACGGCCCACGGCTAAGCGCAACTGTCTAGACGGCGAGAATATTGCCGTCCACCGAACGGACATGGCAGAAATATTACGGCCAATGGCCATCGGGTTAGTATTTTTGCCAGGACAACTGTTTTCCAACTTGTGGTACGATCATTAATCCACCAAATTTTGCCTTTACATAATTTGAAAGAGTATAGTAGAAACTAGAAGGGGATAATATTTAATTCCAGCGACGATGAGGAGAAAAACACAGGAATCTTCGTACCATTTATCGCACAATTGCGGTAATACAACTACTGAGTACTGACTACAGGAAACGGAAAAGGAATAAATATGAAATAATACCAACTCTTTAGTTAGTCTCCATGCGAATATGCGATAGGTGTGGACTGTGGATAATTCGAGATCGAATATCGAAATAATATTTTTGTACAAATAGCTACTTTGGTAATTTACTATTTTGTAATTTTGTATCGCGAATCGAGGCGGTCGTCTTATCAGTTATCAGCGTCGTTGCCGCCCGCGGACAGTTTGAACCACAGTCTTGTTATTTTCTAAAATCAAGACCACGGTTTGTACGGCGACACAGACGTTAAGATCGACCACGATCACAAGTATCAAAATCATGAGATCAACAATAAAAAGCTTGCTCCCGTGGACCTATAAGCTTAGGTCACTATGGATAATTTGTTTTTTTTTTTTTTTTTTTTTTTTAAATAAGACATTCCTAGCCTATAAGGCTATCTACATCTATGGATAAATAACATAATTTTTTTGACTAATTTTAACATGATATAAGTATTTACATTTTACAATTACAATTAAGAGCGATAATTACAGTAGTGACTAGTTATTTAATAGCATTATCGAATAAGATCGTGCGGGCGACCGCGTTTTAGACGTTTTAGTCGTCTTTGAGGTGGTGGACGTATGTGTAAGTTGAAGTGTATTGAGCCAGTTGATTTTTGGAGTGTATAATTTGTTATATTATAATAATAGTTATAGTTATTATATAATAGACTAAGTTTATGCGTACACCGGATTATTATTTCCCCGCCAAAACTCAATTTTAAATGTTCCCGAATTCATTATTAATTTCCACAGAATAGATCATCTATCTATCTATCTGTATCTTTTAATATTATAATCTAAAAATTTTAAGTCGAACAGACTGTGAATTTTGTGCGAGGTCCCGTCAAACAGCCAAAAATTAAAACAGCAATATTGCAGTTAGTATTATAATTTATAAATTAGTTACTTATTAGTACAGACATGCCAACGGATTATCCGGGAAACGAGGATCACCTATATAGCTTTAGCCATATTGTATAAGACGCATTCACGAGTTTCCGCTCGATAGATCAACTTACCCGTAGAGAATAATATTAAATATATTAATAACTGACGGATAAATATATATATATTATATTATATTAAAGTATTAAACTCGTACCATGTTGAGTGGTTGTGCGTTTGATATAGGGGCTGGTATTTAGTATTTACTATTACCAAGTTTGCAGTTAGCCGTTAGGTACCAAACTACCAACAGTTCACCGACGTCGAGGGTTTTACCGTGGCTGGTTTCTTATTTAGCCATGGGTTTTAAAAATGTACGGTATTTCAATGTTCAATCCATTAATGAAAAATGAGTATAGCCATTGTTCTGTGGTATAGCGGTACCCATCTCTGTATAAAAGTGTTGGCATTCTTATGTTGCCGTAAGTTTTAACTTTTTAAGTGTTTGTCATCCGCAAGAACGTTTATTTACAATCGCTGAGACTCGACTTGCATCCCAGCTGTATACTTTCTCCATCTCAGACCGCACACCGACATGATGGACTCTGCAGCCAGTGGCGGTCCGAGTTCTAGCAAACGTCATCATCCGTACGAACGAGCCTTGGAACCTTCACCGATGCCCGCGTAATACAATTTTCCGATGACTTTAGCACTGATCAATTTGTTTTTTTGTCGATGATTTTTTTATCCTGACCTTTCCGTTGCTGTGCCCCTTTAAGTCCTTACCTTACATTTTAACGCCGGATTGAATGTCCGGCTCGATCAATGTAGATTTAGATATTTAATATGAAATAAATTGCATATTATGATAGGCAGTACATAATCAATCATCAAAAGTTTCGGATGGACATTTAAGTAACACCTTTTTTTTATTAATCTAAAGCTCGGCAACTATGGCCATTAGCTGTGTTTGTGTGTGTGTGCGGCAGTATGGTTGGTTTGGAACACGTATATTAAAATGTGCGGCAAGGATTTTGTTGCTAATAACCCCGGGTGGTCACCCATCCGAAAGGCGAAAGCTAGCAATTACAAACGTCAGCCAGTGTGCGTACACAACTGAGTGTAGTCGTGTAGACACCGCGCCACGCAACAAATTTATTTTACCATATCAAGAAAATGCTTATCAGGTACCAAAACCAAATGAACTTCATTGAAAACTATTTATTTTTTGAATATTTCGTAATTTGTGGTATAAAGGAAATCCCATTTCAAATTTCAGATTTGAAAAGATGTTTTATGTTTCTAATGTGAATGATACACAAGATTTTACGTTGTTTTACTGCTGGTTTTTAGGGAATAAAAATTTATCATTTTGTCTCCTTTTTGGTGCTAGGTTTTGCTTATCCATTTTTTAGTTTGAAAAATGATTATCTTTATGTATGTAGCTCAACCTTGTTCACTACCAACACTGCTCAAAACCATTGTAATAAGCCCAACGATGAGTCCAAAGCAGTTATTGACGAGGGCAAGAAGCTTTTGGTTGGAAGTGTTCAACAAGTGGCACAGTGGTGCCGAATGTTATCCTTTTTGGAACCAACCAAAATTATTTACCAAGTATTTGGTACGCTTTATTATTCATTATTATAAAATTTTTCCAATACCTATAATATGTTATAAGTAACTTCTATATTAATAAATTATACAATTTTAGTGATAACTCGAATTTGAAAAATAATTACTTTGTAATCAATTTTTTGGATCAGATTTGTTAACATTTTTCAGTTTTAGGTGTTATGGATTCAGTGAAAACTGGCAGCAATAAATGCGAAAAAATATTTTGTTTGCGTAGCGAACAGAAAAAATCTGGAATAGTATGTGTATTTTATGAAATAGATAGAAAAATGCCTAGTATATCTAAAGGAACATTTGTACTGTGAGTGTTATTTATATTTTGTTTATTATAATATATTATACGATAAAGCTAAAAACTAAAACTGAACTGATATTACTGCATAGTGGTTTTAAATATATTATACTACACATTGTCATTGAAAATGTATCTTTAAATTTTATCTGAGTTCATTATAAGGTGTACTGGTCATGTAAAAGGAAAAAATAAATTGCAAGTTTTCACCATTCGAGAAATACTTGAAGATAAAAATGCATTCGACAGAATATCATTAGTCAGCCATTGGACAATTAATGATATTTTAATATATAAAGTTTAGTATTATTATAAGAAGTTTCAATTGTAAATTATTATTTTATTTTTTGATCTTATAGAAAAATATTTTTATTTATTTAAAATTAGTTATTTTATTTGGTAAGAGTGTCAAATATAATATGTAAACAAATAATAAGATTCGGTTTAAAAAATAAATTTATATATATTATTTATAAACTTATAGTCTATCACTTAAATCACATCCATTTTCTTTTTTATTGGCTATTCTTGAGCCAAATTGTAGAGCTCGTTTTGGTAAACTGGCTGCATTTATAAGTCCCAATTTGAAAGCTGCTAATCGTAACAATAGCTTTTCACCCAAGTTGATTGGGTATGGTTCTTTTGGCCAACACCTAAAATATTTTTATTAATAAATATAATACACTTCCAACTATTATTTATGTAATAAAATATATATAACCGTTGCCATGGTGCAAGTCCTCTAATAAATTCTACAAAATTTTCATCTAAATATGGTGTACGTAACTGACGGCCATGGTCGCAACATACACGGTTATCTCGACCTAGATTACGTGATGGTATTTTGGAAAAATCTTTATCTAATTCTTCATTTAGTGACTGCCAACCATGTCGCTGCAGAATTTTTCTATACCTTGTATACCCGCCTAATAGCTCATCTGCACCCATCCCAGACAATAACACCTGCATAATAAAAATTATATTATGAACATTCAACAATACCTAGTTATTTAAATATTGTAAGCAATATGAAAATATTTTAGTTTCACTATAAAACTTTTAAAAAATGATAGCATTTTTTATGAATGAGATTAATTTTATAATATTAACATGTTTTGCTGATTTATTCTAATTTTGATTAGGTTTTTGAACAGTTTAATTATCTGAATTCAGAAATTTTAAATTAATGAATATGATTAATTTTTTGTTCATATAAAGTGGTTACCCTAATCTAAATAGTAATTAATTAATTCAGATTTTTTTAGAGTGCATTCTATAATCATTATTATGCAAGTTTAAAGTGCACACAATATTTCAATAGGAATAATAGAATAGACTGTGTACTGTTTCATCTATTTTGCATTTTCATTTGTACCTAGTCTTAAAATTGAATTGACAATTTTCTTGAAGTTGTACATTTAACTAAAATGTTATTGTTAAGAGTATGCAACTTTTAAAATTATTAGTCTCTATGACTCAATCTTACGAACATATTAAAACTGTACTTAACACATCACCCATTGGGGCCCACCCACATGATTAGTAGGGTTTACTCACCTGTTATACAAATTATTGTGAACAATATTAACTATATTTTATTAAAAAAAATTTAATATTGATAAAAATTTAAAAAAGGCATTTTTTATAATCTGCATTATTTTTGGCATTGTTTGTAATCTGCTTGATAATTGTTTTATATTGGAGTAAATGACAATTTATCACCTAATATTTTCAGATAAGTTTTAACTGTCTACTTGATCATAAAAGTTTTTATTTTACCATTGCCACACAATCACAATGAGTAAAGCACTAGACAGTGTATCCAGATTTTTTTGGTGGGGGAGGGGGCAGTTGAAAATTAACTTTTGACAACTTTTTTTATTATTTAACAATTTCATTTGTTTACAACTCTCAAACACGCCCTTGATAAGTCACAGTAGTGAAGTACAGAATAGTTTTGCAATATTACATGTGTAAAAGATAGATGACAAATTTCACTGTCGTGCCCACTAGATAAAGAATACATTTAATAAATCATTATTAGCTAGTCACTAAATTCAATAGATCATTATTCAATCAACGAGGTATAATATACATGCTACTGCTCAAATTAAAATGTTAATTCATTGAAGCCTTATAAGAATTAAAAGAGGAAGTTCAAATTAGAAGTTCCAATACTGAACTACTCAGAGTGTTTCTAATAACCTATCTTAAACATACTACATTTAGACAAATGTTAATAATTTTACTATTATTTATAAGAAAATGAATAACTAAATACATGTTAAATTATAATATTATGATATTCAAATAACTTACCCGAGCAGGGGTTTTATAAGATTTTCCATTACATTTTCCAAGTCCTCGAGAAGCAAACCATAAAGAACAACCAAGGCTATCATCCAGGACAGTCTTTAAAGGATAAATGAGATGCCGTATAGTGTCAAAACGTTTTTGTTGCAATTCAACACATGGAATATCTATCTAAAGATGTACAGAATATTTAAAAAAAAAAGTAATTGACTTTTCTCTTTTTTAATTAATGTATTGTACTAGTAAAATTTCACTTACTTTTATTAAATTCCATCTTCTAGTCGGACACAAAGTTTTCAACTCTTCTAATGTATTTAAACATGTTTGTCTGTCTGGACATTCAAAATTGCCAGAATTTGCTGGTCTCTCAAATGAAACATTTAACAAATCAATTGGCTCATCAGATTCAACATATTTGGAAGCTAATAGAGCTAGTAATGCTGAATCTATGCCTCCTGAAAATAAAATAGCAATTTTTGCATGATCACATTTGAACTCGCACATTTTACAAGCCTTTGGATTGATTGTTGTTCTTTTTTCAACTGACTGAGACAAATAGTGAATCAGATTACTGACATTTTTACAAAATTCTTGGTGTAATAATAGTTCTGACATGTTTAATTGATCATTTTGTTGTAATATAGAGTCTTCAGGGTTTGTAACGTGTTGAACACGAGTTTGTTTAAAATATTGTAATTCATTTAGAATGTCGTAATCACAATTAAATTGAGTGTGTGACCACTGATATAATTTTGGTTCTGAAACATAAATAAACAATTAATGATGACTCGCATAGTATTGAAACAATATTTAATCATAAATATACCGAGTTTACATGCATTCAAATCAAATCTGAACAATCCAATGGCTGGTACTTCTTCTAGATCTGCAATATCTTTGTGTCCAACTGAAGTAACGATCAGTTTGTCCGCACTGATTTTCCATAATAAACTGATGCGGCCTATTGGATCTCTACCAACCCACAAAACTTGTTGTTCACAGTCGTAATAGATAATGGAATATGGGCCATGGACGGAAGTCATAAGCAGTTCCATGCTGCCTCCATCGCACAGAAAATCTGATATTATTTTTGTATCGCTGTCTTTAATACTAGAGTTCATCTGGTAATAAGACTTTTCAATATTATAAACATGTCAAGTATATTTATTCATAGTTGTCGACTCACCGTCAGATTCCAACTGTATGCGTCGCCATTCCACAGTAATATATTTCCCTTTCGATCTACATACGGCTGACTGGTTGGGTGCTCCCCTTGAGTCCACAGTATGTTGCCCGAGAACAACGCAGTGTAGCCGTTGACATTGATCTGATGAATGGAACCCACGTCCGGGCCTCTTTTTTGCAGCGAAGATCTACACTTGTTGATCTGCAGACAAAAAGGATCTAGGAAATCTAATTCGAACGAAATAGCCACTGTGCAAAAGCAGCAGCCGCAGTAAACTCCAGTAGATTTACCTCACCACACGGGGCCGACCCTTTGACAAACGAACAAAATATACCGCACATGACGAGATTGTAAGTACACAGAATAACGGCGTCGGTTTATGTAGCGAGACCAGGAACACGTCAAAGCCCAAAGGCCAACCGAATGCGAGGTAGGCACAGTAGCTACGTATTTATTTGTTAGGTGAATTTTTTCGCAAATATGCGTCTTAGTAGAAGGAATTATTATTACAGCCACAGGTGGGTATACTTTTTATCTAGCAAAAAACAATTGACCCATCATTACGACGTCGAGGTCGTTATCAGGTCGAACGACGACAGCGTGTGCGCCAATCCGTCCAGGCCAATGCACCATTTGCCAACGATCGCCGAGCCGGAAAATGCGTAGTGATCTATTATTGCTGAAACGTCGGAAATAATGATATTTGGATAGGTACCGCGCTCTCGGCAATATTACGATTTACGAACCGCTTATCACTAAATTATCAAATATCAACGAGTCCCCGAAAATCGCTTATCTCTGCTAGTCTGCTATCATGAGTCTGGCGGTGACCGCCACGGCTAAAGATATGAGTATCTATAGCCGTTATGACTGCCGATGACCGGTCGGCGGTGATAATCATGACAAATTATTATTGACCATAATTCTCAGTACCGGCAACACGCCATTAAAATGTTATAATTAATTATAATCCCTCCCACTCCAACGCGGCTGATATCGTAGTCGTAACTTGGAGTTAAGTCGTTAATCGTTATTACCTAAAATTACCGAGGGTTAAAATCTGGGAGTAAAGATTTTCATTAACTTGAAGTTATTACTTAACTCTAGGTCTTGAAATTACTTTTTTGAGCTAACTCCGAGTTATTAGAAACCGGCCAAGTCATAGATAATATAGAGCTAAAGAATAAAGATAATCCATGTTTATGGCGTATAAATTATAAACGATAAACTACCTATGCAAATTATCTTTATATTACGTCTACAAAGTACAAAGTAGATAGTAATATGCTTTTTTACGCCGTGCCTAGATTTGTTGGATGGGTGGTAATGGGCGAATGCGAATAAAGACGAATTTGTATAACATTTTGATATCTGTGATTGTGCATAAAATTGTTGTATTGTGTACAGTGTACTATCACAAAACAATATACATATGTAAATAAATATGTTGCTGTTATTGTTTGTTATCAATAGAAGGTTATTTTTAAACAATTTTTTTAATTAAAGCGATTGGTGGCGGACAGTTTTTAAGGAATTACAAACCGGCAATTTTCAAATTGCAAGCATGCTTGTCTTATTAATGTGTCTACTGAACTACTAACTAATTAGTAATTCCGAATAATCAACGTGATTTGATTACCGATTTGAAAAACATTAAATTTAAAAGTATTCAAACCAAATGTATGATCAATGTAAGACTTGGGGGTGGATATGTGAGATTAGGAAAAAGAGCCTTATCGATCTCAAGAAGATATAAAATAACGAATTTAGATCAGTTTTCTAAAATATTATCACATCATTAGGTCGGTCCGCATGATATACAAAAGATTGGTACATTTTGTCTAAAATAATTGATCGCCATCAATCCTTAAACCCTTTGAGGAGCATAAACGTATAAATACGTTTTAAAAATATACTGTCAAAAAGAGCATTGACGTAAATAAAGATTTTTCTCGCGAATTCTTTTTAGAGCCTTATCGATCTCAAGAAGATATAAAATAACGAATTTAGATCAGTTTTCTAAAATATTATCACATCATTAGGTCGGTCCGCATGATATACAAAAGATTGGTACATTTTGTCTAAAATAATTGATCGCCATCAATCCTTAAACCCTTTGAGGAGCATAAACGTATAAATACGTTTTAAAAATATACTGTCAAAAAGAGCATTGACGTAAATAAAGATTTTTCTCGCGAATTCTTTTTAGTTCCGTTGTTTGTGATTCGTCTGATTAAATTACCATAAAATACTTTATACAATAAATATGAAATTAAAAAAGACGTATTTATACGTCTTTGCTAGAATTCGTGTGTGAAAAATAGAACGCACATATGTCTTCGTTCATAATTTTTTTTCCGATTTTTCAATCCTGAGCTGCTCCCTGATTTGAATTTACGTATTCCAATAGGTTACTCTTCAATGGATTAAGCACAGGTATATTACATGGAATTAAGACAATTTAATTATAGCTTTGTTTGAAGTTTAAAGATTTTACCACAGATTTTATGTCAATTCTGATTTATTTATGACTTCAATAAATTTGATTAAATTCCTTAGTGTGTGTATTAGTGCCACTAATTAATCGAGGGTTACTAAATCATGTTTAAGGGATCCAAAGCCGTCGGGCATGGATGTGCGATTGGACGTTAAGTACGAGGGCCACTTTATTTTAGAGGCCTGTTGATATAAATTTAAAATTGTTGACATTTTGATAGGTACATGTTATTTTATATTAAACAGTATTTTATAAAAATTGAAAAATAATAAATGTACAACAATATTTTATCAAAGTTTAATATTTTTAAATTTTAAGCAGCTAGTTAACCATAGATTAACAAAAAATTATAGCGTTTGACAGTGTCTTACGCTGGATTTAACAATGTGAAGGAGGGGGGAGACTTCTTGAAAATTAATAATTCAATTTTATTTTTATTTTGTCCAGCTTGATAATTTCAGACGTGTAGGTGAGGTATTTAAAAGAGTTTGTACAGCTTCAACTACTCAACTTATCTAGTAGAAAAATGCTCTGATGGATCATTTAATGAATTCCAATGAGGTTTTTGGTAGAAAATTGAATCTAGTAGGTACTTCTGGTAGGGTATCTTATAATCTATATAAGTGTGTACAACGAATCGCGGAAAAAAGCTCAAAGAAAGAAAGCCTCCAAGCAAATAGAGCCCACAGAAAAATATCCAACGGAAAAAATTTAAATGTAAATATGAATACATTATGTAAACTGTATACATAATAATATATATTAAATTATAAATATTGTTTTATATTCAGTCATTAGGTAGTTAATGATATAATATAGAACCTAGGTACAGTAAAAAAACGTCAGTCTTAGGTACGTACTACATATTTTATCCAAAAATACACAGCTATAAAAATAACAATTTAATAAGTCAATACAAAACAGGCTGTATTTAATCTATTCTGTGGTAGCACCTACAATATTAGTTCATTGTTCAAGTTTAATACAAGGGGAATGGATACACACCAATGATAGACCTACTGCTTTTTTTTTTATTATTCATCTTAGTAACATCAGCTGCAGCTATTAGGCCATTAGTTATTATTATTATCTGTTATCTATACTATTAAATATTATTGTATTATGCTTTTTTGAGTTATAGTCAACGAAATATTTTAAAAATATAAAACAGTACAATTGTATGGCACTCATATGGACTTTTATTTCCGATGTGTGCTTACGTTTTTGGGCTATTTTTCCGTGATTTTTTTTCCTGCCTACCGTGTATAACATACAAATTAAAACGAATCGTTATTGTTTTGTTTTTGTTTGTTAATGTTTACTGAAATAGTGAAATCAATCCAGTGCTTGCGAATTCCGATAAAAAATATATTGTGAAGCTGAGTCGAGTCAACTGTTATCTCGAATAGTGGTGCAATTGCCCTGAGAAGGAGCATATTATTATCATTAGAGGCGATTTATCCGTCACATGGTATTTCGTTTGAACGTTTTAATTTATATTTTTTTTAAATCAAACTTACAATTTACTGATTCCGCATGATTTAAAATTAAAATCAAACATATTTCAATACTTGGGAACAGTCCGATATTCATATAAAATAAAATATATTTAAAAATGCCAACATCTTGTTGTGTACGTGGTTGCAAGAGTAAGGGGAATGGTAAAATCAAATATTTCAGGTAAGTGACAAATTGGATTTGTTTGCTTGTATTAGATATAATCATAATTCATATCTATACTCTATTATCATTTATCAGTAGTAAATTCAATGGAAAGTGAGTTGTCTATCTTCAGTGGCTTCAAACACTCCTCCTAGCCGGTTCAGGTGGTTTAATTGAGCACCAAAAATTGTGGGTGGTGTCTGTTGGGGAACAATTAACTTTTAATTGTTACTTTTTATTGTTATGAGTTATGACAAATTAGGTTCTTCATGCCTATTATGCTATAATTATAAGTGCAAATAGTGAGATTTTGGGGGTTGAAGCTCAGGTTCTATACAGGACTTCAAAAATCTTCAAGTTTTGGGGAGTTACAATACGGTTAAGGGGGGGGGGGAGGCTTAGCCATTGCTCTTTACACCTATGGTTATAGTAATAATACTTATAATTTATACAGGTAGTAAAGGCAAGTATGTGGATATATTGTTTTTTAAACTTGAACCGGTTAGTAAAATATGTTTTGACGCCGCTGCCGCTCCTTGTACATAGTATCTAATATTTTGTGTTTTCATAGATTTCCTAGGGACCTAAACCGTAGATTACAGTGGATACAAGCAGTCAGCGTCATCAGAGAAAACTTTGTTCCCACAAATAATACCTTGATTTGTGAAGCACATTTTACTTCAAATGATTATCAAAATAGACCTGATCTTATTAAGTTGACACATACTGCTGTTCCAAGTATTTTCAACTGTCAAGAAAATGAAAAACAGAATGCTTCTCTGAAAAAAGTTATAGATTCGAGATTAAAATCCTCTAGAATGCCTGCAAGAAAACGTCATGGTAATTTATCAGACCATACTTATGTGCTGAAACTTCCCGAAGAGTCGATTAAATCGAAGAATATAGGTCCATCAAAATGTGTTGTTCACACATTGAATTCCGGTGAATCAGGTGTGTTCAATTTATCTCAATCAAATATACAAACATTAAGTAATATTGAAAGTAATTTAAATCCATATTTTATCATCTTACAATAATTTTGCATTACGTATATTTTTGTTTTTTTTTTTAGATAAAATACCAGATAATTATAAAATCACTTTTAAACCCCCGGAGAAGAATTGGGAAAATATTGCAATGATACAACATAATACTATATACGATTTAAGGAAAAAAGTAAAAGTTCTTCATCAAAAAATCAGACGTTATTCTTCAACAATTGAAGCATTAAAGGTTAGTGTTTGATACCCTTTTAAACAAGGTCAACCATAAAATTATAGAAAAATAAAGTGGATGTGGGATAGAGTAAAAAATCTCTGGTAACACAACATATTATTTGTTTTTACAAGTTATAAAATAATTTGTATCAACTAAAATAAAGGGGCGGCACCCATATAAATAAATACATTTTTGAAAGAATAAATCAAAATATTTTTGTTGTTTTAGGAGCAATTGGATATAATGATGCGTTACTAAAATCAAATACCTTCAATAAATGTCAATAAGAATGTTTGAAGGTTTTCAATTAATAAAGTAATATTGGTATTATCAAAAATAAAGTCATACCTATGCTATGTGACTTCTAGAATGTTCACCAAACACTTATGCTGATATCAAATTGTGCTTTACCAAACATAAAAAATGATAGTCATCAAAAATTAAAATTTGAAAACCTAAAGATGGAATTGATTGAACGGTGGCATATAATAATAATGATTATTTGTCAGTTGTCAGGCACGGTTAAGTCACCGTTCAACTTATGACAGTGGTTTTACATTTAATTACTTATATATTATCAACAGGCAGTAACTTGTGTATAATTTATCACTTCAATGAGTAATATCAATAAACCAAGAACTTCATTTCTGTACAGGACAATATATCAATACTACAAATAGGTGGTAGCATTTCCTATGCTAGACAAATTAAAAGGTACTTATGAAAAAAATATTTTGAATTTAATATATATGCTATTATGTTCAGTATAATGAGAAAGCATAGACAATGGTTACAGTTTTGTAATGCGTACTGATAATTGTTCGTTGTAATCTGTTTTATGTTATGGTGATCTCAAAGAAATGAGGGTTCAGGGTTCAGTTGTAAAACGTTCTGGACACACTGTTATAAATTATATAAATGCAATTGGTTGTTACCAAACATTAATAAAGTATATGTTAATTGTTAATGCTAGCATATTTTAAAGAATTATTATAATAGTGTTTATTTTAAATGTTATACCTATCAATCAGTTCCATACATATTAATTTATCTTATATCAAGTTTGTTTTGTGTATTCAACAACACCCAATTATAAATTACTTTATTTTTATTCAAATATAGACTGTATATAATAATAATTGTATATACCTAACATGTATTACTTATGTAATAGTGTAGTTTTTTTTTTTTTTACCAAAAAATGATCTTATTATAAATTAAGTTAGGTATTATAATTATAAAACATGTTACCAATTACAAAAATAAATATTTTATTAGAATAAAACAAATACATTTATTATATTATTATTATAAAAGTTTTTTTTTTAAAATTATTTTATATTTTATATTTTCTCTTTCCCGGCATTTTAAAGATATGTAAAATCAATTTAAATAAACGTATTTTGAAGTTGAGTACATTTTAATGTGTGTGAAAATAATAACGAAAAAGTAAGTATTGGAGTGGTACACTGTTACCTAATACCTATGTACACAATTGTTTTGAAGTGGGATTGTGTAATTGTTTTGATATTTCTTATATAAGATGACCATTATTAGTTATTTGTCTAGGAACTTTTATCAGACTTTTATACGTATAAAAATGTTTTGAAACAACAACTGCTGTTAGCTTATATAACAACAAATGTACACGATGGTACATAACTCGCCCGCACATACCCATAAACCTACTTGTGGAACCAAAAAAACAGTAGATATGATATATCCACCAGTAGCCTGTAGGTACTTAACTCTCGTAATTATGTGTCATATAATGTCGTATATTACATATTCATATGTTTAAGGCTATGAGAAAACTGTTGACAAAAAAGGGGTATGGTGAGTGATGACCTATGTGCCATGTCCGATAGTCGAAAATTCGTAGCTCCCATAGTGTATACCGAAGTCAATACACGCTTAGATCAAATATAGTTCAATGTGCATCGAGGTGAATTATTCATATACGTCGTATTTTAATCAAGTTCTATGATGATGAGTGATGACGATTTTCTTGATGATAGATATTCTTTGTATTCACTTATTATACATCATTATATCAGTACATCACTTATAGGTTCACCTGTTCTAGGTACACACATTGGCCATTAGGCACAGAACGCAGATGGTACAGAGTAGATATTATAATGTAGCCATAGACATGCAGTGATACTCTATATCTAGGCGGGAGTTTTATACAGAATTTGCCCCCCCCCCCCGCTCAAATCTAAAATACGTCGTAATAAAAATTGTATTATGTTCTATGTAAGTAGTGTGTATACCCGTCGTCTTTTTTATTTTAAGTTTTTAACTGGCATAATAGTTGGTAAAAATAACGTACCTGAATTATACGTAAATATATCGGTACATCTCGTAGAACGCAGTGACGGAATGAGTGACGGGTGGGTTAGGTACTTATCTAAAACATATTTAATATTATAGTTATGTTGTCGACGTGTACTTCATCTTTTATATTCAATAATATTGTCTTTTCACTGAGAACATGTCAAGTACCTACCCATCTATATATTATATAATATGTACTATATTTTAAATTTGGTTTAATTTGTTTACAAATACATGTATGTGAGGGTGCCTTGACACGATTATAATGTTTATAAGATTAGTAGGTACCGTATAAGCCACTCTGGATTACCTAAATGACTTATAGTTTTATACGGTGTACTATGATGTCTGCATTAATTTATTGGGTATTTACTTGGTATTTACATTTTAATTTATTAAATCTTCAACTGGGAGAGAGATGAATCTTCATTCCTACAGTCCTACCTACTTAATGGATGTATTATATTTCATAACTTATAATGGTTAATGAATATTTGGTACAAAAATATTCTGTTTTTGATGTACTTATAAGTTATAATACGATTGACGTAGAGTAATACATTAATAACAATAAATAATTTTGTTAACTAATTTATAGGTGAATAATGTATTTAATATTCTGCACAGTTCTGTACTCCTGTGCATTTATTACAGTAAAAATATTGTCATTCTGTATAGATGCTTGTATTGTCGATACCTACTACAACAATCAAAGAATTATTCACTTGTATACCTGTATATAATATATGGAACTATTCAAGGATAATTAGGGTTAATGATAATTATTCGGGACTCAAGTACTGAGGTAGGTACAGATAACTCAGTTTTCGACTCCTCTAGAAATCTTGATCAGTAGTCTCCGAAAATCGCTTTCATTTAAAGATGATGATAGACATTAGAACATAAGTACATTACACCTAAAAATATTGATAGGTACCTAATTATGATATTTGTGTACCAATTCCAATAGGCACCTACCTAAGTACTTACATGGCTACATTAAATACGAGCAATGTTTTTATTTTGATTACAACTTCGTACCAAGTTCAAGGGCGCCTGCAGAAATATAAGCCCGGGGGGGGGGGCACAGTTAAAAATCTGATAATTATTAATACATATTACTATTTTTTTGTTTTTACAAGTGATAAACGCTAAATAATAATTAAAATAGAGGGAGGCATGCCCCCTCGCACCCCTTTATGGGCGCCCATGGGCCATGGCAGGGTTCATAACATTATTATTAGTACCTATAATGTTATAACTGTAGCGATTCCAGTCCAAGAAATAAGTGCAATATTTCAACCAGGTAGACTTCAGGTAACCGTATACCATTTCACTAGTTATTACCACGATTTTAGATAATATACAGGTTACTAACGACATATAGAAATTGGTCTCCTGAGTGATGTTCGCAGTTTATCCCCAAACATCAGCTGTTCATCATAGGAAAAAGTCATGAACATTCGAGAAAAGACGCCGAAGCGAGAAAATATGGGCCGGACTCCGGAATTGTCAGAAATCAGAATGCTTGTCGGACAGTTAGCAGTGATGTCGTTTTTAAATACTGTACAGCATATTGGGAAATTATTGGTTTTTATTATTATAATCTAAATGTTGAAACTTATGAATAATTATTTTGGAACGTTTTTTTAAGACCAAATAGTACCTACTCGGTCGAATACATGCGTGTTTCAGACTCGTATTTGACTCCTAGATAAAGATGTATAATTGTTTTTAAGTTGCCTGCTCGTGACTATATTTTAATAAGAGGCAACATTTTTATCATGAGCAGGCAGCTTATAGACAATTTACCGTTTAGATTATAATAATGAAAAACCAATTATTTCCCTATTCTGTGCATATATAACGACATCACTACAAACTGTCCGGTGCGCATTCTGGCGGATGCGATAATAATTCCTGACCACATTTATGTACACACTTGACAGTTCGGCCACAGGCTAGATGTTTTTAGTTTCATCTGTTCTGAGGTTCGGCGTCCTTTTTCTGTAAATGTTCATGGAAGAAGTACAGCTAGCTCTCTCAGTGTACATAGTTACATAATATAATACACCGAAATAACAAAATTTATCCATCATGAAAGTACACATTGCTTCTACATTAATTTCCGCTTGAGTGATAGTTGCGTTCTCGCAGGCCCTAATCGAGAGTAAACTCAACATGATGTCTGGGCATCAAAAATAGCGCTGCGTTGAGTAACCTGCACGATATCTTAAATCTTGGTTATTTTACCAATAGATTAAGCCACAGCAATATTAAATTACGATAGGTACAATGCGAAAGATAATAACTACATAAGGTGCCTACTAATAAGGTCGGTAAGTTCGATATTTTAAATGCGTCCACAACGCTCCGCCACACCATGTTAGATATGCGTCGGCCGTATATATTTTGTCACTGACCTCCAAACACACTCGATCACTCAGTTACACAATCAAACAAATACATAATATTTAATATTATTTAAATGTTTTGTAATTATTAATTCTTTACTGTAATAGTTTTAGTCGTGGTGTGAAATTCGACGAACATCGCGATCCGTGTACCATTTCTGCACCGAAGACAAAATCGTGAGTACCTATTTTCTGTGTTGCTATGAACGACACGAATTATTGTTATTATTTATTTTACACATTGTTTGGCCAAATGGGACTGTATAATATAAGGACATTATATTATACTTACTAATTGTTACCAGCAGTGTAGGTTAATTATTACTTATTATTGAACTTTTGCTCATAATATGTTATACCGTCAAGATTTCCCCGCCAGATGTTTCTCGTAAAACATTCGGCTATTATAATATAAAATTCTATAAACATATTTTTAAAAATGTTTATGTTACTGAGCACTTGGTTTACCACAGTTTACCCAGTTCACTGGGTCGTTAATATAGTTTTTTTATGATATGAATTGTAATAATATATTATAATATAATTAATCAATATAT